TTTCATATTCCAGTAATGAGAATTACATTATTGAACTATTTATTCATTCAGTTATTTAATTACTGCATTTCAGTAATAAGAATTTAGGGGTAAAATGTGTTTAATTGTCCTGAAAATGATATCACAAAGCACAAAATCCTGATGTGTTTCCTAATAACAGGTTTAATTTTGTTCTTGCAAAATATAATTTTTTCCCTTTGAATTAGGGATAAAATATGACCAGAACATTTCTTTGTGATATTTACCCATAAATCTATGGCTCTATAGTTTGCCAAGCTGCCCAATGACACTGCCGTTTTACAGCCAGTGAGGAGAGACAGTTTAACATTACTCAAGGGGAGACAATGGAAAAAGCCTGACTCTTCTGAACCACAGCCCAATAACACTTCCACTTAACTGTGTGACAGCACTGCCCTCTACAGGCTGAAGAGCTTTATGGCACCCATCATGAATAACCATGTTCCCCAGACACAACCTGTGGTTTTTAGGGATTTAAAGAGGTTGGACCTTACAAATAGAGGCCTGGTGTGACACTCCAACATCCTTAGCAAGAGAAAACATCTGATTAGGTGCACAACAAAAATGGGACTTTAGGGCTCCTTTAAGAAACTAAGCATCATTTCATACCGTATTGCTGATAGTGATTCGCAATTGAAAATTCACAGTAACTTAATCCAACAATCGGCTACCTTTTCACCTAAATCAACACAGGCTTCAAATCTTTGTCCCTCAAATTGAAGGTCGCTGATCAAATTAAATCCTTAGATTCCTACATCTCCACACAAAACATCGGTTTTGTCATAACACCCATCTATTAGAGTCGGGCCAGAGGGAGAGTCCCGCTTTAATTCTATCTTCATTCCTCTATAATCACTCGGCCTGTTTTTGAGTTTTTCTCTGAGGCGTATATTAAAACAGATCCATCATGTCTGACAGACCTTATGTGATCTCACGATCTTTCTTCTGTGCTGCTGCTGCTACTGGGGTTTCACAGAAGAGCAGACATTTTATTCGGCTTCAACACTGACAATGGTGGAAATTAGCACATCACAGTTCCATAAACAAGAACCTCTCACTCGGTGTTAGATGGCAGAAAATGAATTAGCTAGGCTAATTAGTGAATAACACTGGGGACAAGCAAGATCAAAAATTAACTCTTCTCAAGCACAGAATGCAAGTAACATCTGGCTTTGGGAAGTAAATAATCAAGTAACTCACTTGTGGTAGGTGTCTTTATGAGGACTACAAGATAATAAATGGTTCAAGCCTAATTATAAGAATTCTGTCCCTTGCTAATGCAAGAGATTCAAAACAAAAGATATACAAATAGTCTAATGAATTTGGTTGCAATTGGTTACAACATTAGCACCTTTTTTTCCTCCCCAGAACTCCATTCGGCAACACATACACTCGTTCAAAGGTTTAGGGTTGGTAAGATTTTTTTCCCCTATGCTCACCAAGGCTAAATTTATTTGATCAAAAATACAGTAAAAACAGTAACACTGTAAAATATTATTACAATTTAAAATATTTGAATTTTCAGCAGCCATTACTCCAGTCTTCAGTGTCACTTCAGAAATCATTCTAATATGCCGATTTTGTGCTCAAGATACATTTCTTATTATTATTATCAATGTTTAAAACAGTTAAACTATATTTTTAAGAGACCTTTCAGGATTCTTTGATGAATAGAAAGTTGTTTCATAATGAATGAACTTTACACAGTTATTGAATAAAATGTTATGAAAGTCATGAAAAATCATAGACATCTCTATAGTGAATAAATTTTTTAGTTATGCTCTAAATATTGCATTTAATATTTTATATTGTGCATAAAACTGTTGTGCAGAGCAAATCTTTCTTTCTAACCACAGAAATGTTTGATTTGTTAGCTAATTCTCTTGAGCCAGGTCATTTCAAGGAACCAATCACAAAATGTTTGTGAACCAGTTCACAAAACGAATTCATTACCAAATCAGTTAGAATCAAAATGATTTTTAAAAAGCTTCACAAAGTAATCACAAATTACTGGGAAAAAATCTTTACAATTCATGCATCAAACAGTGTTGGGACCCTGAATTTAACCCCTTTAATAAACCTAATGCAAAATACAGTTTCATGGTGTGTAAATTCTCTTAATTTGCTTGCCACGGGCAGCTGTGGCAAAAACAGGGCATTGCGATCATGAACCGACAATTAGATAGCAAAACAAAATCCAAATGGATGACAGGAAGGTAAGAGGGAGACAATTTTCAATACAATATGCAGAGCCACACAGCTGTTGGGGGAGAACATGTAATAAAACACAAAGGCACAGCGAGTAGCTGGAAATGGAGCGTTCTGCAGACATTAACCAAAGTCTGTGACTCAGAGTGGACATTTTCAAGAATTTTTATTTCTATTTGGTGGATCTAAGAGCCCATAATAGGAGATTTAAGTGAATTACTGTGGTGCCAGGCATGCAGATCAAAGTGTGTGTGTGTGTGTGTGTGTGTGTGTGTGTGTGTGTGTGTGTGTGTGTGTGTGTGCAGTCTTCTGGATAGCAATACAGTAAATTCACAGCCTCAGATGGGCCTTTATTGTGCTTGCTGAGTAAGGCCAGAACATGTCTATCATCTCCAATAAACTCTGCTGGGCTCAGTTTGTGCTGTGTGCTGCCAGCACTGATACTTCAAACCTGAGAGTTTCAGCACAACTTATAAGTTGAGCTGTAACAAAGATAAAAATTTTTTAAAAAGAGTCTGTCCTTAAGGTGTGCCCCCAGGGTCAGGGTGACTGCTATCATTATAGCAGAAAATGACAAATAGATTTTTTAAATGGCATAATGGAAAGAATGAGTTTATTTGTAGTGCACCCAAAAATAACCACTGAAATAAGGCTGAATTAAACAGATTTTATTCAGTGGTGAGTAGGGATGTAACAATTAACCACGAGCCGGTCGAAAATCTATTCAAATATGTGACGATACAAATCGGTCGAGATGCCAAACAAATCGCGATACAATTGGAGTAGGAGTTTATATGAATGTATCTCTGAGGGGAACTGACTATCTTTAGAAAAGTTTACGTGGTATTTTCTTTTCATCTTGCCTCTGAACAGTGTATATTAAAGTAGTTTTCATAAGCACAGCTCTCCTTTGTTTACAGCGGTAACCAAGGAAACACTGTCATTGCTGTTCATAAGCGCCACCTGCTGGCAGAGAGTGAATCTGCGTCTCACTCAAGCCCGTCTGCCGTTTCGTTCAGATATGTTTTATGTAGTATAGTTTCACAAAACTAAAGTCAGACCATTCTGTTTTTGCTTCACATTTCGAAATGATAGTCTAATTTAGATTAAAAACTACTCATGCTGCATGTAGCCTATGCTGCATCTTTGTTTGGATCATGATTAAAATCCAGTGGTTGCCTCTAATTTTAAATGGGAAGAGCACAGACAAAGCCTTAGTTTGTTCATATTAAGAGATTTCTTTTATTTGCGTAACTTATTGTTTGATTTGGGGTTTGTTTTAAAATTTCAATTTAGTTTTGTTATATTTCAATTTCACAAAGAAACGTGCAGCAATAGCCTAATAAAACAACAACTTTTCATTTACTGTATAATGTCTTCGATCTCATTTTGTTAAAAAAAATCGTGAGTAAATCGAATCGTGAAATCAAAATCGTGAGTTGAGTGAATCGTTACATCCCTAGTGGTGAGGATTTTTTTGATGACTCTTTCTGCAGGTTACATCGATAAACTAGTAGGTGGCGACAAGTAACTGTCATCCGTGAGTGAGTCATTCCCTCAAAGTCTTTCTTCAAAAACACCGACTTATTCAGGAACTAACAAACAGGGTTATTATCATTAACTAAAACTAAAACCATAAAAAATAAACATTTTCATTCCTCGAAACAAAATAAACATAAAAATACAATATTTTAAAAACTTATTTCAGCTAGTTCCCAAGGCAACATTTCTTTGAAGTACTGAAATAACTCAAACTAAAACTTAATGAAAACTACATACCTTAAATAAATATGTAAATAAATAAATGACAAAACACAACAAAATTACTAAACTTTAAATGATAACAGAAAATATAAAAATAAAATCTAATTCAAAATAATAACAAAAATATAATAGTATATCAATAATACTAAAATAACATTGCTACAAGTCTGTTTCGATGAATCACTGAATCGCTTACTAGACTGATTTCATTGGTGGAGACAAAACAGGTTGGCAAAAAATTTCTTGACTGAAAAAAGTTGTAAAATTTTGAAGATTGTGCTTAAATATATCTGAAATGTAAAGCAATCTAGTTGGCTAATACGAGCATTTACTGAAATTGCAAGAATTACTTGTTTATATATTCATATATTTTATTTTTCTAATATATATTATATCTATTTTTGTTTGTTAAATTTTTTAACACATTTTTGTTGAGCCCTGGATGTGTTAAACTTACAGTACTGACCCCTGTTTCCATAAACACTCCATCTAGACAACAAGACTGACACTGGACAAAAGCTGAACAGGGCCTAAGTTGTCACTTTAAAGAGGTCACCTCTCTGCATGGAATAGGGCATGAAGATAAGACGACTTCTGAATGGACAGCACCCTTAGTCAAGCATGAAAAGGTGTTGCACCATGAAATAACACTAAATATCATCAGTCAGTGAGAAATGTGTCACCCTACATATATTTAATTTTCTAATATATATTATATCTATTTTTGTTTGTTAAATTTTTTAACACATTTTTGTTGAGCCCTGGATGTGTTAAACTTACAGTACTGACCCCTGTTTCCATAAACACTCCATCTAGACAACAAGACTGACACTGGACAAAGCTGAACAGGGCCTAAGTTGTCACTTTAAAGAGGTCACCTCTCTGCATGGAATAGGGCATGAAGATAAGACGACTTCTGAATGGACAGCACCCTTAGTCAAGCATGAAAAGGTGTTGCACCATGAAATAACACTAAATATCATCAGTCAGTGAGAAATGTGTCACCCTACCTCATTGAAGAGCACTCGACTGCTCTGACCCTGCATGCCACTGACAGAGTGTGAGCCGCTCTTCCATGTGCGCCCGAAGAAGAGCTGGTGACCCGAGTCAAAGAGGGTCACACGCAGCTGATACTGGAGTGATGGCGGTGACTCTGACTGTTGTCATGCCAACCACAGGAAGAAAAGGAGAAAAAAGGAAAATAAAAAATGTTAATCTCTGTAGTTGTGGGCATCTTATGAGTAGTTGACCAAATTTCAAGCAGTGACAGTGTGCTGCAGTGTGACACGGTATAATTCATCTAAAACATTTAACAATACAATTTTTATGACCTTTTTAAATACTGTATTACACCCACTGCTCCGGGTGTGTGTTCACGTTTTGAGTGTGTGTGTGCACTTTGGATGGGATAAATGCAGTGCACTAATTCCATAAAGATATTTTTTATGAATAATGAATAATTCTGTGTGCATCTATATATTATTTATTTATTACTAATAAATATTTATTTTATAGTCTAGAATTCATTATATATACTGATTATATATAACTTTAGTAACATAAATATATAACTTTATGTAACATAAATATAAGACATTATTTATTGATAATTCATATATTGATAATTAATACATATTAGTGTGTGTATATGTTATTTATGACTAATAAATATTTAATAGTTTAAAATTTCATTATATATACTGATTATATAATATTAATATAATATATATTATTTGTTGTTAATATAATTATGTGTGTGATATTTATTACTAAGAAATATTGATTTTATATTCTAGAATTTCGGTAACACTTTACAATAAGGTTCATTAGTTAACTACATTAGTTAACATGAACTAATAATGAACTGCACTTATACAGCATTGATTAATCTTTGTTAATGTTAATTTCAACATTTACTAATACATTATTAAAATCTTGTTAACATTAGTTAATGCACTGTGAACTAACATGAACATCTGTATTTTTATTAACTAACATTAGCGTAGATTAGTAAATACAGTAACAAATGTATTGCTCATGGTTAGTTCATGTTAGTTCATATATTAACTAATGAACCTTATTGTAAAGTGTTACCAGAATTTCATTATAAAAGCTATTATATTTATATTATATTGTGTTGGATGGATGGATGGATGAATAGATAGATAGACAAATCAATTAATACTTATCACATATTTCATGATATATTTTTAGCAACGGCAAATTGACATAAAACTTAAATTAATATTAATCCTTAACTTCATCCATGTTTTCTTTCCTGTAAAACTGGAAATATGAAATATGAAAATACCTGAAATAAGTTTTGATGGGCTTAAGGATACACTTGATGGTTAAAATGTGAAAATGTGAGAAATTATGACTAGTGACATGATCTAACAATACATTTAGATTTGTACATAACATGAATCTGAATTAAACATCCACCTGTTTTATGTGAAGTCCATCGATCTGTTTGAAGACCAGCTGCAGACCTTGAGAAGCTCCTGGAGCTTGTCTGGCTGTTTGACTGTGAGGCGGGATCACGCGGTTTCTCTCGAAAGTGTTTTTCCAGTCTGACATGTGCGAGCTTTCTTCACTGACGTTACTATCAATCTAAGTTAACGTACCAGGGAACGTCTTTAAAGCGGTCGGTCAGTTGAGCGTTAATGTTCCCTGGCAAACATCCCTGGAAACGTCTAAAAGCTTCCCAGGTTGTTAAATCATTCCCACAGAGGCGAAGTGAAGCGCTTGTTACTTAATTCAAATCAAATGCGGAATATTGACCAAATGCGACGCTAAATCACGCAGAGACTATTTTTGTAGGCTGCTCATTCATTTCAGTCTCTGCGGTCAACAGCAGTTTGACTCGTTCTCTTTCTTTTCTCCTACTAACGGTTCCGTCGCTTGTAAGTTAACTAGGCTAATTTGACAGAATAACTAGTTCTGACATTTTTGACACGCTCTACGCACTGTTATTTTCATAATCATAATACACGTAATGAAAATGCGGGTTTAGCTAGTTGTCAGGAAGGGATTATCTCTGTAGTGGTTGCCATAGCGTCTGTCAGCCGTTGCCAGGGTGAATTAAAGAGAGTTTTGGCGCTTTCCTGCTGGAGAAAAGTGCAGTGCTGCTTTATACCGCCACCGTGTGGCTCGGTGGTGAATCTAAGCTCTGACTCGCACTGCTTAATCAGTTTTTGTTAAGTCTATGGTTTTTTTTTACCAAGGAGAATTCTGAAGCCGTAGTGATTTAAAAATAAGATTAAGAAAGTTGCTAAAACAACAAAGGTTAACCGATTCGCACGTAGTATGCAAAAGTTGTAGTCCTTGTGCATTCACATTTGACAGTGTGCAATTTGTGTTGTGGAAAAATGTGAAAGTCTATCGAAGTACTGTTAACCACATCATATTTAACACCCAAGCGAAATATGCCTGAGGAAACCAAAATGCTGATTCTCGGGGTTTTTGGAACACAAAATGAACCACTCTATTACATTCTCATTTTTAAAAGCATATATTACTATTATGCTTTTTATTTTTGATTGTATTTTTGGTTTTATTGTTCATTACATAACCGTGTTGTTTTCATTTTCCTCCACGAGGTGGCGACGCGCGTCGTGTCGTTGTTTTGAACGCTCGTGCAGACACAGGGCGAAAGAGAAACTTCAGCATTTGCGGAAAACTAAATATGCACAAAATAACCAAACCCAAGCTGTTTAAGATCAGAAGTGCCAACCAGGCCAAAAAATACGGAATTGCAGCTGTTACCCTGAAGGAGCTGATTAAAAAAGCATGCCATTTACTAAAGGTATAATGTGTTTTTTTATTATTATGGAGAGAGTTACTTTAATCTACAAAGCTCTTGGATGCAGCTGCTGTCAGACATTCATAATTCACATTTTATCCACAGGTATCCAGCTGCGGAGGCCAGGTCTGCTTATACGAGGACGGGACAGTAGTTACCGAAGAGTATTTTCAAAATCTTCCCCATAACACGGAACTTGTTCTTCTGCCTGAGGGACAGAGCTGGAATGGACGTGAGTGAATTCATTGACTGACAGTTAGCCTGAAACTGGAAAGCACTGCCTGAATATAATAAACAATAATATTGTGATCAGTTATAAACAATGGAACGAATCCGATTGCTTTGGCTTTTCATTTTCTACAGTTGTGCATGAAATAAGCCAAGTCCTGGGTTTGGACAGAGACGCAGACCTTCTGATCAGTGCAGCGAAGGATCTTCTGGCAGATGAACGTTCTCCCAAACGGCGCAGAATACTGGGAGACCTTCTGAGGAACCTGAGGGACAATTCAGAGGTGGAGAGCAGAGAAGATGATAAGGACTGGTTTCAAGGTAATGAGGGGAAAGAACATAATATGCAGGCATTTACTGTATGTATGCTGTAACTGATTCTTCTGAGGCAACATTAAAGGGGTGCTATTATGCTTTTTCACTTTCTCAACTTTAGTAAGTCTGTAATGTTGCTGTTTGAGCATAAAAAAGATCTGCAAAGTTACAAAGCTCAAAGTCCAATTCAAAAGGAGATATTTTATTTAACAGAAATCACTTTTCAAAAACTACAACGAAGGACTCGTTTGGACTACAACGCATATTTTCCGGGATTTGTGATATCACAAAGATCGACGAATAAGACGAGACCTGGTTGAGCTGCACTAGAGAAGGCAACGAGTGTTATCACTATGTCGGAGAAACGCTAGCTTTCCCAAGGCAGACGAACTTAGAGTGGTTACAATCATCCGGGTTTAAATCGTGCTCAGATTGATTTGATTTTGATGCAATATTTACAGTGAAGCTCGCAGGCGGTTATGGTAAGGGGCATGACATTTCCCGACCAGACGCCGAGTGCTGCCAATCACAACACACACTGGCCCAGCTGACCAATCACAGCACATTTCGTATTTCAGAAGACGGGCCTTCATTTGATACAGGAACTGTTCGAGCCGTTCACGCCAGACTGAGGAGAGAGGTGTTGTAATAATGTAAAATATGTGAAAAAGAATGTGTTTTTCGAACAACCTAGTATGAGAGCCTGTTCTAGTACACCCCCAAAACAAAATCAAGACTTCGTAAAAGAGCATAATAGGACCCCTTTAATACATATACATATTTTCAAAAATGTTTTCATACATACTTTAAGATGTGTTGTTGTTTTAAGCATGAATGCTATGATTGGTATGTTTTTGGGGTACTCGATTTGACCCAAACCTAACCCGACCTATTTCACATTTCTTATCATATAAAAATGTAATCTTAAAAAAAAAAGAAAAGATACTGTAATTTTTATAGATTAACATTATTAGGCTGTATTATTGGCTATTGTATTATTAAATATTATAACTCACAAAGAACATGTCACCTAGAATTGTAGGTGTTTCACACGGTTAATAATTATCAAAATTGGTTTCATTTTAAAAATATAAATCTATCATTTATTTGCATATATATGTACAAATAAATTAGATATGTTATAACATAATACAAATATTAAAATATGACCGTATACAGTATTTCAGATATAAGTGTTGCATATGTGCACGTTTTCTCACATTTCTCATGTCTGTATGTCAGGTATTGATGCCCGGTTTAAAACCAAGTCTGCTTACATGAAGTATAACTGTGAGAGCAGAATCCGAGGATATTTGAAAGAGGTGTGAGCACTCAGTTCTGCTTTAGATGTTAGTTTTTGAATTATTGAAGATATTTATTACATTTAGTGGAGTTCATGCAGCACAGGAGACCTGTCGTTATTCTGAAGGAGATATATTGTTCACTGTCTGTAGGCTGATGGATATACGCGGTCTATTCCAAATGCCAAGACAAAAAGTGAATATAAAAAGGTGGTGGAGATCCTGGCAGAGAAACTGAAAGCTGCCCGGTATAATGGCACCTATTTTGACAGATCGGAACGGGACGTCCACAGGCTCTGCACTGAAGAGGGCTGGTTCACCTGCCAGGTGCTGTCATTTAGTCATTTCTAATGAGTCTCATTAATTCAGTCTATTGTCATTTTTCTTTGAAGGAAAACATCTCTCATTAACTGCTTTGTCACAGTGGTACGGTAGTTTTTATTTGTATAGGAATATAAAAGACTTTTGTGCTAACAGGGTGTCTTTGATGAGAACAACTGCACATTTCTTCACTCAATAAACCCATACGGGAACCGTGAGAGCAGAATTCTCTTCAGCACCTGGAATCTGGACCACCTGTGAGTAGTAAATCTTAAATGTAAATGATTATTAAAAAAACATTTAAGTGCACTTAAATCTTGATGTACATTTTAATATCAAAATATCAGTATTTAGCACCTCTGATAAGGAATAACATTCTGAAATCAAAATGTGTTTTTCAGGATAGAAAAGAAGAGGGCCATCATCCCCACACTCGCTGAGGCGCTGAAGGGCAATAAGAGCGGCGATATAAATGTGGATTATTTCTACAAACTGTTGTTCACAAGGGAGAATCTCAAGCTGGTTCACATCGTCTGCCATAAGAAAGGAGCCCATGAGCTCAGCTGTGACTCCAGAAAAATCTACAAACGGGTCAGGAGGACTGTGAAATGAAATAATCCTCTTATGAATTATGTAGCTTAGTGTGAAAGTTTCAACTTTAGTGAATCACAAGCACTGATGCAAGTTCTGAGATGCTCAGGGCCATTTTATCTTATTATGGGGTTATATTGTGCTTTAGGTATAGACATTTTTTATTGTAACTTTTAGTTTGTTATACACCAAATTTTGAACCAAAACAACATTTGTGACCCTCGACCACAAAACCAGTCTTGTGTCAATTTTTCAAAATGATGTATGGTTTGTTAGGATAGGACAATATTTGGTCGATACACAACTATTTGAAAATCTGGAATCTGAGGGTGCAAAAAAATCATAATATTGAGAAAATAGCCTTTAAAGTTGTCCAAATGAAGTCCTTAGCAATGCATATTACTAATCAAAAATTAAGTTTTAATATATTTACGGTAGGAAATTTACAAAATATCTTCATGGAACATGATCTTTACTTAATATCCTAAGGATTTTTGGCATAAAAGAAAAATCGATCATTTTGACCCATACAATGTATTTTTTGCTATTGCTACAAATATACCCCAGCGACTTCAGACTGGTTTTGTGGTCCATGGTCACATTTGTTTAAATTATGTGAATAACATTTTTACAGGGTTTTATAACTGACTGATTTTAGATTTTTTTATTTCAATTTTTACTGGTTTATTAAGAACTAAATATCTTTGAAAACAGTCTCTATTTGAATCATGAAGCATGTTTGGGAACAGGATATCTTGTACAGCTAATGTTTGTAGTACTTTCAGCAACAAACAATAGCCTTATTTACTGTACAAAATATACTCAAGCCTTCTGTGACAAAAATAATGTCTTCAAATATTACACCAAACAAGGTTAAATATGAAAAAAAGTTGAATTAAAAAAAAAAAATGTAGAGACATATACACATGCATATACAAATAAAACACAAAAGTTGATTTCCAAAGTTGTTAGTGAGGTTTATTTTCTCTGGACAGAGTATTTTACCTTTCATATGATAATTCACAGAAGATTTGATATTAAATAAGTTTACATGTCATGTGCATACAAAGCATTTGGTAGCAAAAAAAAAAATCAATCAGCACTTGGTTTATCATTTCAATAGAAAAATATAAACTTCAAAATCACACTTTCTACAATTTTTACCTCATACAATTTGTACATAGTAGCAAAGAAACTACATTTTAAAATGTTACATCTTTGAGCCACTTGTTCAAGTTAGTGCAAATCCTGTCAAATAAGATACAAATCATATACAGACAAATCAAATTCTTGGTGAAGCCACATGCATGATACAGATAAAACCCTCTTAATTTGAGATACTAACCTTTAAAAAAAAAACTTTACATCATAAGCCTATCAAAGAACATAAGATGTCAAAATAGCTACATGCTTTCATTTTCAATTATACAGCACCAAATCTGAAGTATTAAGTGTTTTTTCTTTACATCATAAGCCTATCAAAGAACATAAGATGTCAAAATAGCTACATGCTTTAATTTTCAATTATACAGCACCAAATCTGAAGTATTAAGTGTTTTTTCCAAAACAAATCTATTCATTCTCAACTGAGAATGTTTAAAAGTGCCAAATTCAGAATGTCCAAGCTAATGTTCAAATTGCTTTCAAAGTCTGAACAGCAAATTTGAGGCACTTGATAAAACAATGTTTGTTGATTTCAGAGCACATTAGTAAGGACAAGTGGTAGAAAACCCAGTGTACAGAAAATTATAGAAATGATTTAGCTTTCTTTCAGTGGAAACCCCAATCACATGATGGTTTTAGCCTGAAGTCTAGCACCTCTTACTGTACATTCCTTTAGTGTGGCACATATATAGTAAGTTTATAATTAGGGATGCTCTAACATTTTTGCCGTTGTTGTTGTACCTCATTAAATTTGCATAAGACAAAAATTACCACATTACTGATAAATCAACAGTGCATCTCAGTGTAGCTCAAACATTAATTAAGAAGGCTCTTGGAATAAAATAGCTTGCTTTAAAACAATCAAATCCATTTTACCATCATAAAACTCCTTCCATGTCAATGGCATACAGTTTGAGTGAATCTGTGAGAGGAATTGTGTCCTCATAGCTGCTCGTCTTCACTGTCCTCTTTGGCATAGTAATGCACGCTCCTGTACTCTCTCCGGCTCATTCTCCTGCTTCCTGGGGTTCTGTGTGGGTAATTCTGAAACAAATCAGGTCAGAATGATTTAAAACAAAGCCACATTAAGACGTTAAAATTGCATTAATGACAGTGTCTGTTGAGCGCATGCATTATGAAATCAGCCAGACACCTGCTGCGTTTTGACACCCTATTGAGCATTAACAGACCTTCACTCCAATAATCCTACATGGTCTTGTATTAACCTCAATATTTTAGGATCGCTGTGTGCAAACAAAGCCATCTGGCTGCATGTTATTCATCTGCAAAGCTCAACTTAGATCAGAGTTATGTTACTGGGGCAAAGAGCCATGAAAGTTCACATCCTGCACGGGCCATCAACTGATATTTAACAACAATAAATTGACGTTTCTTATTTTTACTTTTAATTATGCAACTATGAAATCTACAATTTTATATATTTTTCCTTTTTTTATTACTATTATTGTATACACATACCATATAGATAGATATTTACTTACCTTTTGACAATTAAATTTTTCTTTTTTTCTTTCATATACTATACTGGGCAAAGAGTTTCTTAACTGACATGTATTATAATAGTGATTTATGAGACTTTTATTATCTTTAATAAAAAACATTTTATTCTATGCACCGATTTAATGTCACAGACGTCAAAATGATCACGTGACTATTTCCACCAGAGATGTAAAAAATGCTTACATGAAATCAACACCGTTTGCATTTGAAATTATAGTTATGAAAATACATAATTTTTTTTTGAATCTTGAAAGTCAAACGAAAATGCTGATCGCACATGTTAGCTCTGAATTAAATTCAAACCAGCACTATTTTGCTGCATTTCTGCTCTAATACCCAATCATAACACATTAGGAGTTCAATCACTTGACCTGCCAGTGGTTGGCTGCCTGCCGGCTGGCAGTCCACTATCAGGAACCATTGATTTATGGCAGATTTATGCGTTTTGCTCTTCTTCCAATCTAGTGCCAGAAAATTTTATTTACATCTGTTCATATGACTTTATTCTTTTCAATGATCAACGTTTTCTGTGTGGAGTGATATGGAACGTGTTAAATTTGGAGCTAAAAGTGACTGGCTGCTCTGAAGCAGGAGTAACCCTCCAGTCGGGATCACGGCCATTTGAGCACTTTATTCAGGATAAACCTCCCTTAAATGTCGATGATACAAAAGAGAATACATTAATAATAATAAAACAATGAATTTCATTGCAGTAAGAGTAGCAGGGAACCCGTTGGCAGTAACCCACCAGTCAGGATCACGGCCATTAGATATACCTCCTTAAAACATATATCATACTAAAGAATAGATTCAAAAGAACATTCACAATATATTAATTTCCTTGCAACAGGAGTGGTGGGGAACACACAGCCTAGGCATACTCGTAGCTTAATAAAGGCTGGCTCGAGAAAGCGGTCAGAGGAAGACATGAACGCAAATAAATATATTCATTTATTCAAAGTAATTAAAAAGAAAACAATTTACAAATAAAATAAAAAAAAATGTAAACAAAATGACTTCCAAATAGGTAGATCCGTCTTCAAACAGTAGTTGCCTAACTGGCTGGAGTGGCAGACCAGCTGACCCGCCAGTGGATGGTGGCAGGTCACGTGACCTGTCAGTGGCAGCTCCTGCCAGCCAGCTGAAGACTGAACCCCCCACTCGAACAACATGTGTTCTGAATCGGTTTAGCTTACCTGAACAACATCCATGTTCCCAAAGAACTGCTCCACTGGGAAAATGTGATTGCTGTCCTCGTCGAAGAAAATGCTCGGGTCCTCTCGCGTTTGGGGACTGTGAATGACGGTCTGGTCCATCTTCGCCTCTGCATTATAGCCGCTTGTCAAAGCAGTACACTTGGCGGCAGAGTTTTCCTTACCGCGCCGCTCACACGAAGTCTTCTTACCGGGCTGAATTTTGACGTTTTCATTCATGGTCGCGCTAGATTTCTCCTCTACTTCGCCGTGAAAAGGTCTCTTTGGAAGACGTTTGGCCTCCCCGCCGTCGCCTGCCATCTGCTGCGCTGCGCTCGCGATATCAAACGCCGATCTCTGCACCAAACCGCGCAGAACTCTCCTCCGCACAGCCTTCTGTGGATAAAAGACCAGTAATAATTGTATACATGTAAACAATAAAATATCAGCGCGGTTTTAGACGTGGCTGATACATCGTGAGAACCTTGTTGTTACTGTAGCCGACAGACGGAAACCGCGGGGAGGAGATGGATGAGTAGACACTGACACTGACCTTGACTGAACTTTTCACACCAGGCGTGTTTAAAGAGACAGTGCCGCGCACTCGCAGTCTGTGGCTCCCGACGACAATCTGAAACAAGAGAGCACTATCCTTATTAGGGACATTGTATGATCAATAATACATCCGTTTCCCCGTCACAAACTACTGAGTGAAATTTCAATTTCGTGCTCCAAGCGAGGCTACACGCCAAAACTGTGAACCAATCCTTAATAAATTATATTTCACACTGAACGCTGAAACTGATCGTACATGTACATGCTAGCAAAAAAAAAACGACTTCTCAAAAGTAAAAGCTCAGAATCAAGTTCTCTTACCTGCTTCGCCCTCATTGGAAGTTTCGGCGTCGAAAGCCGAGTGTGGAGTCCTGAGAGTGTTTATCTCCGGTGACCGCTGAAGCCCCGCCCATATCCGATCATCTGCGCCGCACAGAATCACGAGATGGGACTTGAAAACTTTACTAGGCTTTTCTGAGGCGGTGACTGATATACCCATCAGTTAGTACTAGTCCGTTTGTACAAGTCATAACCGTTATGACCAGTGGTATAGGCGATTAAATTACATGAAATAATAATAATAATAATAATTCATTACATTTATATAGCGCTTTTCTAGGCACTCAAAGCGCTTTACATTGTCAGGGGGTATCTCCTCATCCACCACCAGTGTGCAGCATCCACCTGGATGATAGTGCGCCAGAACGTGGATTGGGGTCGTTTTGTTTGTCTCGGTCGTGGCGGATCATCCTACATCTTCCAATGACCCGCCCACCACACACCACACACCAGCTTACTGGTGGAGAGGAGACAGAGTGATGAAGCCAATCAGCAGATATGGGGATTGTTAGGAGGCCATGATGATCAGAGGCCAATGGGCAAATTTGGCCAGGATGCCGAGGTCACACCTCTACTCTTTTCGAAGGACATCCTGGGATTTTCAATGACCACAGAGAGTCAGGGCCTCGGTTTAACGTCTCATCCGAAAGACGGGCAAGTGTATGACTTTTAATAGAAAACAATGCTCTAAAGACATGCTAGTAGTTTTTATAGAGCAGACAACTGACGCAAATGGCTAATAATATCATTAAAATATGCTTACATTTGGTAGTACAATCTATAGCCTATCTATAATATGCAATACTGCAAATGCTGACAATCTTTGACTGACCCTACCGCTTTGAACCACACGGGGGCGCTAAATACTAAAATTGTGAGTTCAGTGCTAATCAGCTCCTTGACATCTTCACGTATCTTTTTGAGTGTGCTTGTGGAAGGGACGTGAAAAGTGGGTTACATACCTCTAAAAAGACGACAAGTTTACTCAACTCCATTATTTACATACATTGAATAAGTAAGTAGTTCTCATTCAAACTCTTCTTGGGGACACGCATTTATTACGCTTGCACAGCTGTCGTGTGTAACCAGAGAGCCTATTATAGCAGGTAGGTGTCGTGAAGGTGGAGGAGAGAGGAGGGCAGACTGCCGATTGTTTTACAGGATGACTGCCTCCTATTTTCAGCAGTTCAACGATGGACCTTGAAGCGAGAAGAACTTGTTGCGACATGACGGGACAACGGACTAAAACTTCGTCTGACAGGAGGAAAGTGGAGACGACGGTTTTTTCAGCTTAATCACAATGCCTCATTTTTATATTTTCATAACACTTGGAAAATTAATTACAGCGGACCTGACTGACTTTTCATGACAAATCCGCAATGTACTACTCTCTGAGGAGCTCGTGCGTAATGGAACTCTTCTTTCGAAAGAAAAAGAATTTAAGAACTGCGGTCAGCCTGACTTTGGTTTTTGCCACTATCCTGATGCTTCAGAGGTTAATTACAGTGGACACGAATTTTAAAGATACCAAAGTCGACGTGAAACGCAAATGGTGTGGACCCACATGTAAAAGCATAAAGGCCGTTGAAAATTCATCCCAATCAAACGGGAATGGCTTGGCGCCGGTGGGAAGAAAGCCCATGCCAACAAAATGGGACGTGAATAGTATTAAATGTCAGGAAAATTCCACGATGAAGACTCAAGCCTGGTTTCGTCGCTTGAACCCAAGGTTCCACGAATTTGTCCTGCACAGACATTGCAGATACTTCCCAATGTTGCTGAATCACCCGGAGAAGTGTAGCGGTGACGTGGATGTTCTGGTCGTGGTCAAGTCGGTTATTGAAGAACATGACCGGCGAGAAGCCGTGAGGCAGACCTGGGGAAAGGAGCAAGAAATCCAGGGCTTGACAATCAAAACACTCTTTCTATTAGGCACTCCAGCCACTGGCAAAGACACACGAAATTTACAAGCCCTGGTCCAATATGAAGACCGAACCTACGGGGACATCTTACAGTGGGACTTTATTGACACTTTCTTCAACCTCACTTTGAAGGAGGTGAACTTTCTGAGATGGTTCAGCATCTACTGCAGTGGAGTTCCCTTCGTCTTCAAAGGGGACGATGACGTTTTTGTTCACACCAAGAACTTAGTGGAACTAATTGGCTTTCGGGTGGAGGAGAACAGAGTGGAAAACCTCATTGTAGGAGACACCATTTTCGAAGCCAAACCGATCAGAAACCGCCAGAGTAAATATTTCATTCCCAAAGAGTTGTATGATAAACGCTATCCACCTTATTTGGGTGGGGGAGGATTTCTCATGTCCTCTCAGGTGGCCCACAGGCTCTTTGCGGTTTCTGAGAGCGTGGAGCTTTACCCCATTGATGATGTGTTTTTGGGCATGTGTCTTCAGAAGCTGAAGATCGTCCCCGAACTGCACCTGGCCTTCAGGACATTTGGGATCATTAAGCGTAAAGTGACTCGTCTGAACCGGGAGCCGTGCTTCTTCCGCAACCTCATCGTGGTGCACAAACTCGGTCCGCAGGAGCTGCTGCAAATGTGGACGCTTGTTCAAAACGAGGACTTGAACTGTGCCAGACACGTCGTAATATGAAAAGATGCGTATTTATAAAGACACTGTGAAGATACTTTTTCCAAATGAAGCGTTTTTGTTATTTTCATTCAATGTTCTTTTTTTTGTTTTTGTAATTTTGTAAGGAAGGATGAAGATGATGAATATTTGTGTTATCATCTGTCAGATGTAGGCTAATACATTACAAGTCTTTCAGTTATGGTCTAATAATACAGGGAACAAATACAACCCAAATCGATCCATTTTTGTTTAGATAAGCATACCGGGGCTAGCTGACGCAATGTTTCCTCCATTGAGCAAGTAGGCCTATATTCTAAACACATACCTTAAAAGACTTGGCTAAAAAGGTGAAACCCACTGAAAAAAAGAATAAATAAATGGGAAAAGATGCATATTGTATAATAAGCTGGACCTTTGTGACAACATGCCCCAATAGCGGAATATTTTATGACTACAACTTGTAGTTGCTTGTAGTCTACAAGCACGAAACAATTCACCAAATATCAATAGGCTAATGTAAAAGGTAAGACACAAATATGTAACACCTGTTTTGGCCAACAAATAATGTCATTAATAAATTGCTTTTATACACTTAAAACTCATGCAAGTTTGCCCACTAAAGATCTACCTTAATTACATATTTGATACTTGTCTTCATGTACACTAGTGTGGTTTACTTTTTAAATAGCTGTTAACATGACGTTGCAATTTTAGAAGGAGATAATTCACACAATGTTTAGAATTTAAGGGGTTTAGAATAACACTTTTGTAATTTGACTTTTGACCAAAAGAAAAAAACATAAGCTAATCTAATAAGAAACATATAAAATGTACTTTTATGCATATTATGATGCACCAAATACTACAAGAAATTCACTAGAAGAAATTTCCTAATGACTCTTACATAGAATGGAGATTGTAGCTTTTAAGCTCCGTAAAAGTATGATTAGCCTATTCTAAAAATGTAATGCGTGTTATGCGCTATATTCCACATATTCTAAAGTCATTCTGCAGCATACAGTGGCTTTGTGCGAGCAACAGTCTGAAAGTCGTTATTCATTCCTTTGGTGCTTTTGGCATCATCTTTAGTCCCCATTCAACATAATTTAATGTAATTAAATTGAAATGTTCTCTATAATGTTCCGTGGAAGAAAGTAAGTCATACAAGTTTGAAATGACATGAGGGTGAGTAAATTACATTGATCTGCATCATTTCCATTTTTGGGTGAATAACATGGCATGACATACACTCAACATCATCAACCAAACATTTGTCAAATGGAGTATTTTTACAGATCCAAAAAAAAAAAGCAAGTGACAATTTTTTTATTCAAATACATTTATTAAAACAAATAAAGCTACAAAACAGATTTTAGCTTCCACTGATATCAATGCACATAGAGTTGAGAGGCATATAATTAATGTGTGGTGACGCAATTCAAATTACAATCAGTATAAATCTTCAAACTTTTGTTTTGCAATGTCTTAAACTGTCTCATTGCAAGTGCAAACAAGCCTGTGAAAAATGTAAAGTGGCCAGACTAAGACTGCACATATAAAGTATTTTGTAAGTGGCCTTTAAATTAATTTTGTGTTCCCAAATGAAGCTTGTAATCATGTCCTTGAGAACTGACAATACACATTAGTGCAGCATTTTCAGGTACCTCCTCCAGATTACCATGATAGACAAAACTCTGCTGTGCTTCTTAATTTTGCTACTGTAACTAAAATAAATCCAAATTAAAGCAAACACAAAAAAGCTCTACTCCACAAAAACAATCTATGATACTCTATATATTATCAGTATACAATTTTTTTTTTAATTTTGACTGAAAAATTAATACTATTGGGTATGTGTGTCAGTCATCTGTGCAAAAAAATGTAGTGTTTTTACAGCACTCTCCACTCTGAAATAATTTATTAGTTTGACTTATTGAATAAATAAGTGATATATTTAAATTAGCCATCTCTATAAAGCCACACAAGTTAATCTTGTCTGCAGGGGTTGATTTATGTCAGTTATATAATGGATGTCTCAGCGGTGAGCTGTAGGAGCTACAGACAATGCATAATGTCAGCCATGACTTCAGAAGACATTCTTAAAAAGAAATGCCTCTGCTGAGATCACAATCAGTTTTAAACTGGTTTGTTTTATTCCGGTTTAACATACTGTTAAAGCATACTGGGGTTGTACCTTTATAAATTCCTTCCCTGGCTCACACAATAGGGAAACTGACTTTATACTTGTGTTTAATCATCACTCTATGCAAATAATTTAAAAAGTTACATTATGGCCTATTTTCAGGCACAGGATCAGCCTATTCCACTCAGAATGTCTATCATAATGTTTTATATCTTTGGTCTCAATGATTTTATAAGCATGACTGGACTAAATCATTACTTTTATAACATAATCAATAGAACAGCATAGTTTGATGCAGATCATACCCTGTGATTTAACACATCACACACTAGACAAAAAAAAGTTTAGGCGCCAACAAACAGGGCCAAGAGTTTCTCTAATACTGAAGCAAATACAAAGACCAAACATATTAAATAAGAGTCTTAATAGTATCATCATCCCTTATGGCTCTTTATTCTCCCAGCAGTGACCTCGTTTATTGGCAACATCTCTGTTCCAAGTCCCGATTCTCTGAGAAGCACCAAGGCAGTTCTGCAGCTTTAATTAGCCTTTGCCCTCTTCAAGAAAAACAACATTTTTGTTAGTTTGTTACCTAAATGTTGAAAAGCGAGCGCTGCAGGAAATTGAAGTGCATTATCGGAATCAGACACGATGAGAATCTGGCTGAAGTTTAAATCTCTTGGACAGATTTGTTTACTTTCTTTTCAAAGGCTACTTTTCACTTTTGGCTATGGTGCTAATGATGCTTTAAAAACCTTTAAATATCAAAGTGCTACAATCACTAAATATTAACATACTCTACACACACACACACACACACACACACACTAAACAAACAAAAGTACAAAACAACATACAAGAATAAAATTCTCAAATAGATCTAGGTGATCCACCTGAATTGGTAAACAGAGCAAAATACAGACTGCATATCTGCTCATAAGCCTGTTTTCCTGCTCAAGTATTTTTGTTCACAAGCCATCGACACACATTTAAGATAATTTACATTCATTTATGGGTAAATTTTATATCAGGTGTCAATGATAATGTGTGCTTAGAATAATGATGCCGTGTCTTATAGGAATATTTCTAAATCAGTACAGCAATAAGTGCAATAATGCATTATTTGATAACTTGATATAAAGTAGATTGTGTTTTTTCGCTATGAATCACTCATGAGATTATTCCAGCAAAGCTACTAGAGTTAGCATTTAGCCCATGTGCTATGCCTGTTGTAGTCTGTGGGTAGAGGCCTTGCCTGGAGGAATTCTGTTGCGTCTGTTGATCCTAGAAGCAGGAGCAGGGATGCGACTGCCCCTGCCCAGCCCTCGAGTCTTGGACTCGGATATGACCGTTGTTGTCTTAGCTATAGCTGTGCTGATTGTCTTTCCTGAAGGCAAAGAATAAGAGAAATGCAAACACACAAACACCTGAGGAGTTAATGATAAATGCATTGTGCGATGCTGCATAGTTTAGCCAAAGTAAACATATTCAAAATATTAATATAAAGAACAGTCCATTCAGAGTCAATGTGTGTGGGGAGGATGGGGCATTGTGGGACTCTTTGAGGTGGAATTGAGGTTGTGTGAGGCAGATGGGCTCCTGTACGGCAGAGCGGATGTTGTGGAGGCTGTTGGGCATTTGGGATCTATAGGGGCTTTATGGGGCAGCAGGGACTTGTAGGAGACAGTGTGGGGTGGAAAGGTCTCATCGAGGCTAAAGGAGATGAATAATCACCTTGTACGTGTGTGAGAGTACTCTGCTGTACCGCTCTCCTCCGTGAGTTCTGTTTACAGCCCTCAATTCCCATGAGGTGAGACTTCCAGCCCTGCACATACAAGACATGCACTGTTACACTGCTGTACAAGCAACATGTGTGAGAGAGAGACTTTAATACTCACTTTAATACTGGAGTCATTCACTTATCATCATGGGTGCTCATGTTAATAACCTCTACCTATGGAGTTGGTTTCAGTTTTTATATCATATCAGTGTTCTTATATTCTTAAACCTCAGAAATAATATCAGCTCTTAAATACTGGAAACTCCTTAGATCACATCTATTGATATTCTGCTGTTTATGTCATTTCAGACTGAATGATGTATGTGCTAACAATGTCTTTCTAGCAAAAGAGCTCTTACAAGTCAAGAAAAACAAATGCATTTCCTGTACCAGTGTTGTTATTGTAAATTAAAATTGTAAATATATATATGTTACAAAAGCACATACAGTTACTAAAACTTAAACCAAAATTAAAATTACATCCAAAAATATATAAAAATAAAACCCAATTCAAAATATGAATAAATAAAAAAATTATAAATAAAAGGAAATGATGAATTATGAGTGACAAAGACTAAATATTTATCTATTTATTTTGGCATACTGCAATGACGACATCAGTTGTGTCCATTCAAATGAATCAAAGAAAATTTATATCTTTAAAGATACTGACAACTGCATCTCTTTTTATGTAATAATTTGTTCAATGTCAGAAGTGAATTCTTCACATATTGGTATGCATCATTCTTTTTATCTTAACAGGATTGTGTAGAAAACAAAAGCTCACACTGTATTTCAGGGACAGTGTAACCCTCACAAAAACAGGTTTACGATTTGAACAATATGAGTTTTTGTGGTACATGACGTCATTAACTTGACACAGAAGACACGTCAAACCCTGAATATGTAAAACATTGTTTATCAGCTGGAGGCAGTACTTAATGTGACTTTTCAGAGCTGAGAGGTAAATGACTCTTGAGAGAACACCTCTCTACTGTCAGTCACAGTCATGAGCTCATCTGTATGACATGCAACAGAGAAATAAAATACACCCATGAATTATGAGTGACAAAGACTAAATATTTATCTATTTATTTTGGCATACTGCAATGACGACATCAGTTGTGTCCATTCAAATGAATCAAAGAAAATTGATATCTTTAAAGATACTGACAACTGCATCTCTTTTTATGTAATAATTTGTTCAATGTCAGAAGTGAATTCTTCACATATTGGTATGCATCATTCTTTTTATCTTAACAGGATTGTGTAGAAAACAAAAGCTCACACTGTATTTCAGGGACAGTGTAACCCTCACAAAAACAGGTTTACGATTTGAACAATATGAGTTTTTGTGGTACATGACGTCATTAACTTGACACAGAAGACACGTCAAACCCTGAATATGTAAAACATTGTTTATCAGCTGGAGGCAGTACTTAATGTGACTTTTCAGAGCTGAGAGGTAAATGACTCTTGAGAGAACACCTCTCTACTGTCAGTCACAGTCATGAGCTCATCTGTATGACATGCAACAGAGAAATAAAATACACCAAGAACTTTTCAAGTTCTTTGTGATGGATAACTAATTTAAAGGGATAGTTCACCCAAAAATTAAAATTCTGTCATTAATTACTCACCCTCATGTCGTTCCAAACCCGCAAGACCTCCGTTCATCTTCGGAACACAAATTAAGATATTTTTGATGGAATCTGAGAGTTGTCTGACCCTCCCATAGACAGCAAGGGTACTACCACGATTAACGTACCACGACACACCATCCGTGTGGTGCGGCTGACACAGAACAACATATGCTGTTTGTGTTCAGTGGATACTCTCCAAAATGGCGCAAGGGTGACTCGGAGGAGACGAATTGTTGAAGAAAGTCTTTTTTTCTTTCTTTTGTGCACAAAAAGTATTCTCGTAGCTTCGTAATATTATGGTTGAACCCCTAATGTCTCATGGATTATTTTACCGATCTCCTTGCTACTTTTCTGGACGTTGATCGTGTAAGTCCCCTTGCTGTCGATGGGAGGGTCAGAGAGCTGTCAGATTCCATCAAAAATATCTTCTTAAGTTGTGTTCCGAAGATGAACGGAGGTCTTACGGGTTTGGAACGACATGAGGGTGAGAAATTAATGATAGAATTTTCATTTTTGGGTGAACTAACCCTTTAAATTAATTTCAATCATTACTGTTGTGGCAGATTGCATTTGTGCACCAGGTTTGTTTGTTATTTTGTTGTTAATGACAATAAATGAGTTGAGGATGTAGACTGGCACCTTGTAGGTGTGTTTGTGTGTGATCTCACCTCCTCCCCTGAGGTGAAGTTTTCATGGCAGAGAGGACAGTGGTTACAATTTTCTCCAGAAGCGGGTGCTGACAAAAAAGAGAATAAATCCATCACCAGGAAACACAGCTAAATAAATGCAGAAAATTCACCACTTACAGAAACAACACAACACTGATCAGAAATAAATCTGCAGTTGTGAAAGGTTATTTCTAGTGACACTGTCATGTGAACGTGTAAACTTCATATGGATGAACAGGTCTGATGACAGAGTGGCTGTCTTCTCGGATTTTTATGTATAATAAGAGTGCGACACAAAGGGACCAAAATTAACACATGCCAAGCACCAAATACAAGTTAAAGCGTGTAAAAAGGTGCAGTTACTCGTCTGTGATAGTATTTGGGAACTGAAAGATAATTCAAATTTTTTAATCTTCTTTTGCCTATTATCGGAGTGGAATGTTGTTGTTGTTTTCTTAAGAAATCTATGTGGTGACGTAAAATATTCTTCTCATTAACCTGTCTAAAATGGAAGTAGGAGGAAAATACAAAATTGTCTGTGCTTTACAGAGAGGAGACAATTAGTATCTGATGTGGCAAATGACTCAATAAGCAGCACTGTTCATCACAAATGTGCAAGAAAATCAACAGATAAAAAATAATACTGTTGTAAGGACAAAATCCCTGTAGAGTATGTTTCATATAAAAATATTCTAAATTAGAATTTCATGGCCAATAAGAAAAAAATGCTATTACCTCAATTCACCTGCCAAATGTTAATTTTGTACCCTGGTATCACATTTGTAACAGCACTGAGTGTGCTTTCTGGATGAGCATGAAACAAAAACACTGCAACCACACAAAGACTCACGATTGCATGCAGCGCTTTGAGCATGTTCAGTTAGCTTATCTCGGGTGAGAGCTTCGGAGCAGAGAGGACACTGGGTGAAATCTGCCCTCCGCTCACATTCAGTCAGCAAGTGCTCTGTCAGGCTTGCAATCTCCACCACCTAACAAACACACAAACATACTACATTAACACACTTTGCAAATTGAGAAGTAGTTTAACCAATATGAAATATTTTGAAATATGACGGCGCGCATGTGTGTGTGTGTGTGTGTGTGTACCTGTCTGCACTGAAGGCAGCGCTGCAGCATCGGGCAGTGTTTCCAGTAGTGCAGGTCGAGTCCGTCCTCAGTGAATGATTCATCTCTCTCTCCACAGAAAATACACAGACTATACAAAACAGCACCAGCATCATCTGATTTGATCTTTAATTTCTCACTCAACATGTTATTAAGATTTTTCCCAGCAGTACAAAGAGAAATTGATTAAACAAGAGCCCATTAGCACTGCTTATTATGCTATCACTTTTCAGATGTCTTGGTGAGATTCTATTATTTGGTTTATAACAGCTACACAGATAAACTTGACTTTGCAGAGTAGCACTGAACCAGAAACTCTCCACAAATTGACATTCCACTGACTGGGAGAATTACTAACCCCTCAGTTGAGAGAATCAATGAAGAAGTGACAAGAAGAAGTGCTTACTTGTCTAAGAAGTTAGCTACAGATGGTTCGCTGCCTTCCACATCAGCAGGTACAGACTGGTTTACCTTCTTAAAACCTGCGGAAACCAAGAGAAACATATTGAACTCTCACATACTGCTCAGACTGAATTTAGACTGATGTACCAGTGTTGTTTATTTATATAATATAATATTATAGTATTTATTCATATTTTGAATTAGCTTTTTCAGTTTTAATTTTAAGGGATTTCAATATTAAATATATATTTTCAAGCTATTAAATGGGCCCATCTCGGTTACCAAACCGAAATTGAGGGTTAATATTGATGTGTAGGCTGCACAAGCAGGGAAGTTTGTTGAGTTACAGGCAAATTGGATGGTAATTTGAGGCAGTGCATAGCAATGCATGCTTTAGAGAGAATAAAGAAAGAATAATGGTCTAATTCTCACTGTTTTTATCATTTGACTAAAGTAACATAAGCGAATACAAAGAAGGGCATACAGACATCCAAGCTAAAAGCTGGTGGTGGATGAGGAGATACCCCCTGACAATTTAAAGTGCTTTGAGTGTCTAGAAAAGCGCTATATAAATGTAATGAATTATTATTACTACTATTATTATTAAAAGACAGATACAAAGATATGTGACTGTGGCAGGTTTAGTTGAAAAAATGTCCCATCAGACATTTTGATTGGAAGCCCTTACATATATTTTTTATCCTTTATATTCTTTCAACTCGATAATTTAACATGGTGACAAGTTAAGCCTTAAAACAAAAACATGAAGAACAAACGTTGGCAGGCCGAAAGACTAGCTTGTGCATGATTTGCAGTGTTTGCTGCAAGGACATTTTTTAATTGATCTTTACTGAGATAGTTCACAAAAGACACCACTTTACACACCTGATTTGGTTGCCTTCTCAGCTTTTTTCTCAGGTACTTTGGTATTTTCTTTCCCTTTCACCTAAAACACATTCACATCTTTAATGCATTTATGAATTCATCTATTTGTACATTTGATGACCAAAAGGGCTCAACGTGCTGACAGAGATTCACTCTGCAGTCATTCAGCCCAGGTGCAATCTAGCTAAAGAACTTCCCGATATGAAAATGTTAATGCCAGGTGTGAAGAAAGCCATTTTGTGTGAGAGCATTAAAAACTAAATAGAAAGGATAGATTAGGCCACCTGTGACCATTCAACCTACACTGATCTCCTTCAGCACTGCAAGCTGCTCTTGTAAGCTCCTGATTTCCTCTTTTTCTTTCTCACCATCTTTTTCTGCCCCTTTTTGTGGCTTCTGGAGTAAAATAGTGAGAGAGAGAGACTCTTTAAACTGAATGCAGTATCCCCACATTCTCAAAAAAGCCCACACACAAACATTCCAAGTGTTTTAATCATGAAACTTAAGGCTAGCGATGCTCTCCAGACCGGTTTTACCTGTGTATTGATGGTGTTTCCATCTAACATGGCAAGTGAGTCAAAAAGGTTCTTGTAGAGGACATTTTTACGTGTGCTGGTGTCATCAGGTGGCAGATAATTCAGAACTGCTTTTCCATGAAGACGGTGCATAGCCTGGACAACTCTCACAGAGAGTTCCCGCACTGAGGCAGCGCTGTGCTCCAATCCACCTGCCAGAAACTAACACAACATACATCACACACAAATATATTTATAATTATTAATTCATTTAAATATAATCAAGTGATTTTAGAATAGATGCACTACTGTTAAAGCTTTTGGGGCCAGTAAGATTTATCTAGTAAGATCTAAGAATCCTGAAAAAATGTTTCATGGTTTCCACCAAAATATTAAGCAGCACTGTTTTGAACACTGATAATAACTAAACAAACATATATTTTTACATTCTGTAAAACATTTGCATTATATTCCAAATATTTCTCCCTCACTTTCTCTCTCCCGTTCTCCATACACAGATCCCATTCATCTGCCCCTAGGCTCTGGATCTCTCATTTTAATTACAGGAAACCCAATCGCCTCTCTGCTGTGCCCTGAAGCCCATCTCATCTCCCAGGAAACCAGCAGGCAGGAGGCATTTAGCAGCCATCCCTGCAAGTAACCTACAGCAACCATTTCGTGGGAGATCACCAATGAAAAAGACCAAACTAACAGAAAGACCCAATAAATATTTAAAAGGACATTTGCTGAGTCAAGAGCTGATTCATTGGTGATAATTGCAAAAATATCTCTTAAAGAAATAGTTTACAAAATACTGTACTGTTACTGTTCTTCAAGTTGTTCCAAACCTGTATGACTAAGTCCAGACTGCTTTAATCTATACAACATAAGCATACAATGGCCTGCATCTGTCAAGCTCCAAAAAGGTTTTTTTTTTTCCCATAAGACTCATGAAAGAAAGAATGTCATACAGGTTTTAAACAACATGAGGGTGTATAAATGATGAGATAATACAAATTTTTCGGTTAACTAACCCCTTTAGTATCCAGTCCATAAATCCCATTATAGGGATCCAACGATATGAAAATTCTGGCTGATACAGACAAGCTGATAATTATTTATTGTTATGGCCAATAACAATAAATGGCCAATATTAAAATGCAGCCCTATTTTGCTAATTTAGCACTAAACACTAAAAACTAAAATCAAACATTTCATATTCCACAAGTAGGGATGTACCGATTACCGGTTTGATGATAAATCATGATAAAATTCCCAACGGTTAGTATTACCGTTTCATCTTTTAATTATCATTAAAACCATATTAGATTACTGCGAACAACTCACGATAAATAAATACTGTCCAGCATAAAGCACAGTTTTAAGTAACAGTCTCACGTGCGCACAGCAGCAGAGTAGTTTCGTTTTGAGTGAAAACAGAACAGAAAAGCTGGGTGGTTTTAAAAGAGTGCTAAGGGAATTATACAAATGAATATATGAATTAATGAATTATATGAATGTACCTCTGAAGGTTAACTCTTTTCTTTATTTAAAGGCTGAAATGTGAGGTTTACCTTTTTATGAAACTTTTTCAAAGCTTTATTTGAACATTTACATTAGATATTTGATCATGCTATTAAACTGTTGTCAGTCAAGTTGTCATTTAAAATCCGAACATCATTGGTAATGTTATTGTTTTAGTGATTATGCAAACAAAAAGTAATTTTATTTGATGTTTGTTGATTTTTAAATATAAAACTTGGTGAAGTGATTTATGTGTTGGTACTTTTTGAACATCTCCAGCACATTTTAACAAAACCGTGATAATACTGATAACCGTGATCATTTTGGTCACTATAATCGTGATAAGAAATTTTCATACGTTACATCCCTATCCACAAGTGAATTTAGGCCATACAAAAACATAAATGTGCAGTATAAAAAGTGGATATTTATTTTGAGATGTTTTAACATTTTTTGCATTTAGGATTTTTTAACTAGTGTAAAAAGGGGAAATGAGCATGCACAATTCAACATTAACAATTAAATCCAATATATAAAAATATATAAAATATACTAAAAAAAAAATATATATATATATATATATATACAGTATATTTTAAAAACTCTCTAACATTGCATTATAACTGATTTGATACCATTACCCACCTAACTAAACCATGTGGAGGAAAATGAGGCTTCAGGCCACCTAGGTGTGGTGACATAAACCTTCCAAGATAACAAGCAAAACCAGAAGCCCAACTTGAACACAGACAGAAACCTCACAGTCCACTTTGCAGTTCCTTGTGAAATTTCACAGTCTCTGTTGTAGTAGTGCCACAAGTTTGCACTGCAAACATACTTCAAACTGCACAGGTCCCAAAAGAAAAAACAAAACAAAAAGAGAAAACTGTCTAAGACCCTGATGAAAATAAGACCCTAAGGAACTGCAATTTTAACAGCTTAACCACTTTGTACAACTAACTGCTGGGACAGAGAGAGAGAATGAGACAGTGCTTGGATGACTTTCATAAACTATGCCATGGATATGTAACTGGCTGTCAGAACAGCCCTTTTAAGAAACTAATGGTAACAGGGTTGACTACACCCTCTCTGTCATACAAAGGCCACTTTGTTTCAGTCTAATGAAGCCCTCAAGAATCCTAATGATAGCTGTGATTAACCTTCAGATCCCAACAGAAAGGTTACATTTGTGTTATTTTGGCCAATAAAATTTAATTAGCAATAGGGGACTTTTTTCCCATTCTAGAGAACATTTTATTGGATAAAAATTTCAGATATGCCATTGAATATTTTTTTTAATCCTTTTTCCACAAATTAAATTTTATATTAGAAGCTCTACCTGCTAAAAGACCGTTTTGTTAACTTTAAGGAGTACAATCGAATTAAGAAGGCCACAGAGCTAATAGATATGGATGAGAAGCCACAAACCTCTCTTTATGAGTCTTTTTAAAGTGTTTTGTGCCCAGACCTGTTTATGAAATTGTTCAGACAAAACCTGGCAGATTTAAATGAGGATATCTCATAGCAGGGTTACAGTAAAAGACAAGATCTCTACTCGTGCTAACAGAAAGCCACAAATATTTGACAATTCCAGTTCACGTTAAGTTCACTTCACAAGGTCACCAGTATATATGATGCACTCCCAGTCATCAGCCACCATACTGAGCATTACGATTTATCCAAATCTCCTGTATTTTCTACAGTTGGTCAGTCTTCTCCCCCTCATACCCACTGTTAGTAGAAAACCTGGCTAAGTTCACACATGGGAGAGATAAGCCACGCTTTCCACTACATTTGTTGCTGTATCACTTCTACAGATAATCCACAATACTAGACAGAACATGACACCTGCTAAACAGTCACAACTATCTGTCGTGCTGATGGTGCCATTCTGTCTTTAGCCTGAAACGAAAATGAAAAGAAGGGAACATGAGAGAAATTAGAAAGAGAGGGTGCGAGAAAGAAAGAGTAGGAGAGGCCGAGAAACAAAAGAAGGGGAGTGATAAAATCAGAGAAAAAACTGGGCAAAATAAAGATAGAGAGGGAGTTCTCGTACAGATGACACTTTATCTGTGAGAGCTTTCTTGCAGAGGAACACAGCTGCTCTAGTCATGCTCCGCAGTTCTGCTTTTGGGGTTCCAGGTGGAACCTCCAACAGTTTCTTGTAGACTGTCAGCAAAGCATCCTCCCTGTGGGACCATTTCTTGGAATAGGCCCCTGCCACCTTTGAGAGACAGACAGAGAAAGAGAAAGTGAAGATTACATTCCAGAAACAGCATACTAACAAAATACACCAGCTTACCATTTAACACATAGATTTTGCCCAGTGCTGTGAGACAGTAAACAACAGTTATATATGGATATAACAGCAAAGTGTTAAATACTTAAAAGGATAATTCTCCCAAAAACTGAAATTCTGCCATAATTAACTTAAAGGGGTCATATGATGCTTTTTTAAAGATCATTATTTTGTGTATTTGGTGTATCAGAATATGTTGACATGCTTTAATGTTCAAAAAACACATAATTTTTCAAATACTGTACATTATTGTAGGTCCTCTATGCCCCGCCTCTCTCAAACGCTTCGTTTTCTACATAGTCCCTCCTTCCGACAAGCGCAGTCTTCTCTGATTGGCCAGCTGACCCAGTGCATTGTGATTGGCCGAACACCACAAGCACGCGTCGGAAATGTAACGCCCCTTACCATAATCGCGAGCTTCATCTTTCAAAATACATGTAAAGTGTTACTCCAAACCAATATGATTATTGCAAACTTGAGAATCAGATCAGTATTATTTGCAAACAAATCATTTATACCAGTTTTGTAAATACTAAAATCGATTAACTAGAGGCTGTAAATGTTGAGTGTCTCACCAGACTGTCTCCACAGATGTCGATGGGCAGACTGGCCTCTCTCTGAGCTTTCTCTGTGAGCGGTTCTGGTTGTCCTGCGGCCCCAGAGCTACATGGGGTGGCTGTGTCTGTCAGAGGGGGCATCTCATCGAGCTCACTGACTGGCTGATCACTCGACCTCTTCCTAAGAGCAGGTAAAGGCCTCTCGTCATAAGGAAGGGAACTGATCTGTGAAAATACACACATGATGATTCCATGAATCCAAACAGTTAAAATGCAATCAGATATACAAAACATTCCTAGCAGGAATAATTGTCTCAGTGTTAAAAACAGAATTAAATGCATAAAATAACTAATACTTTAACATTATTTTCGTACTTTCTGTCATATGCAGAAATTGAAATACTGTACAGTTTATTTTACACTGGAAAGACAGATCCACCTGCCATCCTATAATTTTCAATCACTAACTGTTCTCATCTTACATGTCATTTCAAAGCTGATTAACAGAATGACCTGCAGAAAAAGGTGCACTAAGAAAAGTCTGACTAAGTCATCTGACATAGTTACATAACCCCCTGATAATTTTATTCTTAAATATACACACTACAGTTGAAACCATTTCAATTTTTTAGAATTCTTAGATGCATAGAAAGTTCAAAACAAAAGCATTTATTTGAAAAGGTAACATTTTCTTACATCTTTTGTAACATTATAAATGTCTTTACTGCCATTTTTCTTATATATATATATATATATTGATCCCAAACTTTTCAATGGTAATGTACATATGTAAGAGAGTGCTTAAATTCAGAAAAGGCTAATTCAGGCTGAATGAAGAGGTTTGCAAAGACAGCTGTAGATTTAAAGAGGATGCATGTCATTTTTCTTTATTAAAATATTTTCCAGAAGTGTGTAAACATTTCGACCTCTGGCATGGTTTATGGCAGTACTACGTTAGTAGCACAAAAATTACACACTTCACCATTAAACCCTTTAATTAAATCTTGAAATGTAAAACTCTCTAGCTAATGCAAATCCCTGACATGCATGTTAAGCCACACACGTTTAGATAATAAATCTACAAAGAGCCTCGTGTCAGTGAAGATAGAGCTACATTGGTGGAAAGGAACAGAAGCCGCGTTTCAAGGCAGATAACTCTGACTGAGGATTACAGCAAAAAGCACCCTTAAAATTAGCATATGTGATAAGATATATTAATGAACGAGAAAAAAAGTGGACACAAGTAACACATTAGAACAATAACATCATACTTTCTTTTTCTTATATGGTTGTTTATTCTGTGTACATCAATACTTACATCGATCTTGGGGAAGTGAGGAGGAGTGAAGGGTGTTGGAGCGACTGTATGTTTGGGGCTAGCTGCTTTTGAAGTGTCCTGCTCCTCTGTCTCCTTCACATGTTGCCTCTGTCTTCTCTTCCTGGGTGAGTCTGCTGGATGAGGCGCGTGTTTCTGTGTACCAACACGTGGAGAGGGAAATTCAGAGTTGGAAACCTCGGAAATTCTGTGGATCTGAACATTTTTATAAATGTATTTACATTTTAATCAAAGTTCATAAAAGCTATTTATCAAAATAAAATAAAAAAATAAGTCTGAATTTATTAAAAGGCTAATAAATGTTGAGAACTTTAACCTATTATTTTTCAGACACTGATTGTATGAAAAAAATAATTACACGCTACAGATAAAGGTTTGTCAGAACACAGGCAGAACACAAGTGCTTGCCATAAACAAACAGAGTGCACTATGACTGTCCAAGTAATTTATTGTCTGCTGTATAAATGTGTCTCGTGGCCTCAGACAAGTAAGCAAGCAAGCACCCGATCTCAGGAGAACCAACACAATCATTATTCAGCTGGGAAACTGCCATATCAGAGTACTAATCTCACTGGAGCTAGAGGCCCTCAAAACACAAGAGATGCTTTATTCATGCATTCATTGCAGGAGAACAAATTAAGAGAGACACACAGGAATATGGATGGACGGATGGATGTCATTAACTGACGTTCTGAGAAGTGCAATGGATGGATGGACACCTCTGTTGGATTTTTTTTATTTTTTATATATATAAGAAGTCTCATCATGGCAACATTTGTTAAAATATTGTAAAATATTATTACAATTTATAATAACTGTTTACTATTTTAATATAATTTTAAAATGTAATGTAATTCTGTGGTGGTGACATGATCCTTCAGAAATCATTCTAATATGCTGATTTTGTGCTAAAGAAACATTTATACAACTGTTGAAAAAAGTTGCTCCTTAACATTTTTGTGGAAATCCATGATTTTTTTTAAAGGATTCTTTGATTAATAGAAAGTTCAAATGATTTTTTATAACGTTGCAAATGCCTTTACTGGCACTTTTGGTCAATTTAATGCATCCTTGATGAATAAAAGTATACATTTTATTTTAAAAATCTTATTGACCCTAAAATTTTGAACAGTAGTGTATATGTGGATGGATGGTTGGATGTTTACCTGACTGATGTCCAGCAGGTCATGGAGCTCCAGCTGCTGGTAGACTGTGAGCCTGTAAGCTTCCAATTGTTCCTTTTTCTGCTTAGCTGTGTCATAGTCCTCTCGTTCTATGGCACTGTGTTTCTCCACATCATACCGGCCCAAACGCTCGCCCACCTAAAATGAAAAAGAGAAAATACGGGGGGGGGGGGGGGGGGGGTCTCTCCTCAACCACCACCAGTGTGCAGCATCCACTTGGATGATGCAACGGCAGCCACAGGACAGAGGCGCCAGTGCACTCACCACACACCAGCTACAGGTTCAAGTTCAAGTTCAAGTTCAAGTCTGCTTTATTGTCAATTCTTCCACATGTACAGCACATACACACAGAGAATTGAAATTGCGTTACTCTCAGCCGCCCCCAACCACAAAAAAGAAGAGATTGTCCCGGGGGGGGGGGGGGGGATGAGAGGTTGTTAAACACTTATCTGAGGTTAAAAAAAAAAAAAGAAGACACTTGTAATTTGCTTAGTAATCACTGTCAGGCTATTTTTAACAGGTACCTAATGGAATGCCACAGCTCTATTGGAATACACCTGGATGCATTTCAACCCTCTCAATTCCAGGTTCACATCTCCAGTGTGTAACATTATTATTAAACTACATGTGCAAACAAAGATGTGTCAGACAAAGACGGACAACTTAATAACCTTTTGCAGGTCTGCGATAGCTTGTTTGAGTTTTTTGGCCAATTCAAATCTTTCCTCCCGAACCATGTCCTGTTTTTTCTGGTCCAGCAGTCGAATGATATGGGCCACCTCGGGGTCCTGATACATGTCAAACGCCAAGTCATCGAGCGGCGAATTAGAGTCACATTTATAACTTGAGAGCCTGAAAGATAACAAGAGTAAACAAAAGAGAAAGACAGAAGACTGTGTGCACAAATTTTATGTAATGCAATATAACTTTTTACCCAGTGTATGTGCCATCCAAAGCTGAGCTGTATAGGCTGTTGTTTAAATATTGATCAATCAGCTGATCTTTGCTTAGCTGGGACATAAACAATAGATTAGCAAAATGTTATTAAAAAAAATACACTATCGTTCAATATTTCAAACTGGGGTCAGTTTTGAAAGTAATGAATGCTTTTATTCTGAAAGAATGTATTACATTTATTAAAAGTGGCAATAAAAACCTTTGTATCGTTACAAACAATTTCAAACAAGTGCTTTTTATCTGAACGCTCTATTCATCAAAGATCCCTGAAAAAAATGTATAATGGTTTCCACAAAAATTAGTTTTTGACATTGATAATAATATGAAATGTTTCTTGAGCACAAAATCTGCATAATAATTATTTAATTATCTCTGAAGGGTCATGTGACACTGAAGACTGGAGTAATGACTGCTAAAAGTTCAGCTTTGCAATCACAGAAAGAAAGAAATATATAAAAAAAAATAATAATAAAAAAAAAAAAAAAAAAAGAACACTATCAAAATAATAATAAACACCACTAACAAAACATATTTTAATGTTGCCATACATCAACAAAAAAGTATAATCTTTTCAGAAAATTAACACTCCTTAAAAAACCAAGGGGTACATCAGGTAAATTATTTGGGTCAAACATTAATTTAAATGTAAAAAAAAATAGCATTCCATTTAAATTCTGCTTCCACAAATTAAATTCAACATCCTATTTTTAGCATCAATTCAAATTTGGGAGCAGATCTACAATTCCAAAAGAATTCTCGATTCAGTTCTGAATGAACCACACTGGTCCAATCGCTCAGCCAAACATTAAGGAATCATTCCCAACATTTGCTATTGTCTCTGGTGAACTGAACAAGCCACAGTTAAGAAAACAGACAAAATCATGCATGTTAAATTTGTTTGTCTGTGAATTTTATGAGGAAAAAAAGTCTCTTAAAATCATTGTAGTTGAAGCTGAACATTCCCGGCTGATACATCAAGCTCTCTGCTTTGATCTAAATCTGATACAGAAACATGCTTAAAGGGGTCATATGATGCGATTACAATTTTTCCTTTCTCTTTGGAGTGTTACAAGCTCTTGGTGCATAAAGAATATCTGTAAAAAATATATTTTTTCACGCAAAGAAAGAAGGCGGAACTTTTATTCTCGCTGTAGTATTGTTGTTGCCGCCGCCGCCATGTCGTGAAGGCGCTGTGTGTTTCGTTGTGAAAACAAACTACTTTGTTTGGCCTTCCAAAAGAGGACGATATCCGCTTCCTCATGCCTAGAGCTGATCCGTGCTGGTCGCTGAGGAAATACATAAACTTCGTGCTGTGGATCGCCGGATCGGCTTTCACCGGGGACGAAGCGGAGTCCAGCCCGGGGTCGTCACATGTGGTTGCCGCAAGACTGCCCACCGCTGCTCACTCCAGCCGCCGGCCTCCGCTCACTCTAGGCAACCGCCACTCACTCTAGCCCGCCGTGTGTGACGCTGTGTTTCATTGTGAAAGCGAAACTACTTTGTTTGGCCTTCCAAAAGAGGACACGACTAGAAATCAGTGGATAAGTTGTATTTACAACACTGTTCCACAATACTTCAACCCAAATATTCAGATGTGTGCAGCACATTTTATGGAGGACTGTTTCCTGGGAGATGAGACTACAATGCTGGAGGATATGAACAATACATGATGTTTAATTTCACAAAGCACCAGCACTCAAACATAAAACATATAGAAAGAACCTGTAATTTGGCAACATTCCTTTACATGAGAGTAATATGTCGCTTATGATGTATCCTTAGATGTATATCTATGCAAGGTATATCTATTTTACTCCATTAAATTACCACATTGGCAGCTACTTGTTGTAACACTGTAATTTCAGTGAAGTCTACACTTAAATATTGCATATGTATTCAGAGGTTTGCTGCTTATTATGAAGAACTTTAGTTAATAATTAGGATTGTTGTGTAAAGAATTTAGCGTTAGCGTGTAATCTGGCTAACGTTAACTAAACAGTAACATTATTACGGTTACAACTCATCTCAAACAGCGATAAGGAGCTTAATCACAAACCACACGTTAAACAGATAAAGCTCAGAAACACTAATTCTTAGAGTAGTACTAATATTCACTATTTGGCAGATAAAATCTCGATAAATAAGTCGTTTACCCAAGTACAGCAGTTGCCTACGTTTATCTCCATAACCACCGTTTGACAACTGAAACGTGTGCGCATGCGCGAAATTTTCGTTCGTTCTTGAAAGAATCCCGGTGTTTTTGAAGGAATCTTTTAGGTGAACGAATCATTTCACTTCCGTGTACCGACTCTTGTTCACTTCTATGTAACGTACAGTACTTTTGTTCACTAAAGTCTACCCTAGTTGAAGTACGTGTCTCACATGCAGTGTTCTAGACGATATAAAAATGTTTTTAGTCTTTATTATTATTATTTTATTATTTATATACTACCTTTATATAACATTTTATATTTATATTTCCCCTACTAAATTCTATATTCTTTTTTCTACTTTATTCATACATTTCTTAATAGTTTATTATATATATATATATGATATCCTACAAAGCATGTTCAAAATTCACCAATATAGATTAAGTATTTCATTTTTATGGGTACCGGCACATGTTGGGATAGAGGGAAATGAGGAAGCTGATCAAATGGCCAAGAAGGCATTAAAACAAACCGATATAGATATAAATATATCACTTAGTAAAGCAGAAATGAAAGGAATAATCAGAGGGGCTATGATTAGGAAATGGCAAAAGATGTGGGATAGGGACATAAAGGGTCGGCATCTATACAACATTCAAAAACAAGTTGGAAATGGAAGGAAAAACTTTGGAAGTAGGAAGGAGGACACAATAATATCTAGACTCCGTATTGGTCACACAGCTCTTAATCAATCCTTATTTATTATTGGTAAACATGAATCAGGTAATTGCAATAACTGTGGTATACCAGAGACTGTGGAACATATCCTATTACATTGTGAAGCATATGAAAGAAAAAGAATGCGATTAATAGAAGAATTAAGTTTGTTGAATATTGAAAGAATTACAATTAAGACAATACTTGAGTATGCTTCATGTATGAAGTGCTTGAGTATACTTCAGCACAGTATAAAGTCTATAATGCAATTATTAATTATTTGAAAGCAATAGGTTTAATAAATAGAATTTGAAGATCACATAATGAAGTATATAAAATAATTGTATCCTTGTGTAATACTCCTTTGGTCAAACTAAAGGGTATTTGATTTTTTTTTTAATTAGGTTTTTTTTTTTTTTTTTAATATGCTGTCACCAATATACGTCATGCTCCACACTCCAGTCCAGTAGGTGGCGGAAATGCACCTTTTAAGTGGGTTTGCCAACCGCCATTAAAAAGAAAAGAAGAAGAATAAGAAGTGAATCAAATGTCCAGACTCTGTCGAAGAAAAGGGGATGCTGGTTCTTGTAGTCCTTTATAATAGCTCTGGTTAGAGATGGGAGAGTTACCCTAAGACAGTGTGTAAAATATTACTATTAAAATATGTATTATGAAAATTCTAAATTCCAAATCCAATGCTTATTAAGTTAATTACATTTTAATTGCAAATGGATGAAAAAACTGGCGTCGTATTAAACTCTTCCGGGTTGCGTCCAGGTTCCGGGTTACGTTGGACAGTATGGCTGAAGAAAACAGCTCGCTGGATATTTGGCCAGAAATTGAAAAGGCAGAAAAGGAGAATAGGCGTGAGCTGGTGCTTCAGGGTTCAGCAGTTGACAAAAAGATCCAGAGCAGCGGCGGACTTCACGCGCGACTTTATTCCCTTTCGCTCCTAAACTACCTGGAGATCAGTCAATGTCCCAGTTTACATGAGATCCACGAGAACATCGGACATCTGTCTCATCTACAGAGTCTGATCCTCTGCAGGAACAAGCTCACTGCAGTCCCAAAAAGCATTGGCGGTCTGAAAGCGATCAAAGTCCTGGATTTGTCTGTCAACGAGCTGCAGACTTTGCCCGAGGAGATCTGTGCACTGAGCGAACTCAACACTTTAAATGTCAGCTGCAACAGCATCACTGCTCTGCCGGATGGTCTGAGCAAGTGTGTGAAGCTCGCCAGCATCAACGTGTCCAAAAATGCACTCTCGAGGCTCCCAGATGACTTATGGTGCTCCAACCTGGAGCTCCTCAGCACCATCATTGCATCAGAAAACGCGATAGAGGAGCTGAGCAGTGAGGTTCATAACCTGTCTGCCCTGAAGGTGTGTTTCATGACAATCTAATAGTGAAATCCACCTGGATTTATACTGGATTTGAATTGAATATGTGCAATGGTTCAATGAATACAAACTTTCATTACTTTTTTAAGTAATTCCGAAGAGTGGTGTTGATGTATTATGTACTCCCAATTTATTTTTATTAGTAGTACTATATTTAATAATAGTACTATAATAATAATAATATAGTACTATAATAGTACTATATTTAAACTGAACTGAGCTGGATGTTGACATCACTGAATTCAATGACGAACTGTCTTTAACTGAAAAATTAATGTTTACTATTGTGATTTTGCATTATTGACACTATTTTCCTAATTAATGCTGTTCAGTTGCTTTGACACAATCTGTATTGTTAAAAGCGCTATATAAATAAAGGTGACTTGACTTGACTATATTCTAATTATTGTAGGTGGTATACTATGTATTTCAATAAAATATTATTATTATGTGGAAATATTTAAATCTGTTTTTTGTAATGTAATTTTTTTAATTAAATACAATTTATAAATAAAAAATCATTTATAATTTAAAAAATTGAATTAAATTAGAGAAGCATTTCTCTAATGGAAGCATTTCTTTATTTCTGTCAGACTTTTAGAGCATTATAACTTAAGTACAGTGATTAAATATCAGTTATAATAGTTGTGATTTTTAAAAGTAATTCTAAAGATTGTAGGTGGTGTATTATGTACTTGAAATATAAAATGTTTTATTATTATTATTTGAGAATGTTTTAATAGTTTTTAATGTGATTTTTATGCTGATAATAGGCCTATAATTAACTAATGTTTTTTATGCTGAAAAATGATGATTATTATTATTATTAAATTAGAAAGAATTGCTAAATGGAAGCATTACACTATTGGTCTCAGACCTTTGGACCTTTTTGAATTTAATAAGTACAATGGTTCAATAAATATACATTTGAATCAGTTGTGGGGTTTTTTAAGTAATTCTAAAGATTGTAGGTGGTGTATGATGTACTTAAAATATAGTTGTTAAAATGTATTTTATCACTGTAATATATAATACACCACTTACAATATTTAGAATTACTTTTTCAAATCATAACTGATTGGTTGAAATACAGGACATCACTTGATATTAATGTGCATTAATAATATTTGAAAAGCCTTCCAGCATTTTCTCATGCATCTCACTCTCTGCCATCTCAGGTTTTGGATCTCTCCAGCAACAAGCTTCAGGAGCTTCCATCTGAGTTGGCCGACTGCCCCAAGCTGAAAGAGACCAATTTTAAAGGGAACAAGCTGAAGGACAAGAGGCTTGAGAAGATGGTGAATGGCTGCCAAACCAAATCAGTCCTAGACTACCTGAGGGCAGGGGGGAGGGGGAAAGGGAAAGGCAAGCAACAGGATGGAGAGGTGAGCGAGAAGCTTGACTGTGGCCGTAACATCTCAAAGAAGAAAGGCGGTGCAAAGCAGAAAGGCAAAAAAGAGGCAGAGGATGTGGATGAACTTAATCGGATGGTAGTGAGAGTTCTGCATGTATCCAAAGCGCCCACGGCTGTTACAGTCAAAGTTTCTGCAGGCGTCAAGGATGTCCGGCCATACATTGTGTGCTGCATTGTAAAAGGCATGAACCTCAGACAAGGAAATGCTCTCAAGCGATTTCTAGTTGCTCAGGTGACACAAGTTTCAGCAAGTATCTCAGCCATCAAAACTCTTGTGTTCTGTCTTTTTAAACTGATTTTATATAAATGTCAGAGTATTCTGTCTGCAGACCAAACTTCACGATGAGATTTGTGCCAAAAGGACAACGGCAACCATCGCAACTCATGACCTGGGCTTGCTGAAGGTTCCTCTGTTGTATGATGCCAGGCCACGAGATACACTGAAGGTATGGGAGGAGGTTTCTCAAATATTATGGTTTATATATATATACTTGGTATTCTTTTTATAATAAATCCTCAATTCAACACAATTAAAAAGTCTTGCTCTTTCACAGTCATAATTGTCCCTGTAGTTTATTACGTAACTCATCAATCAGAGCATCTCTACAAGTTGCATAACAGACAAACAATGCAGAACGATGAATATTTAATAACCGTTGTTGATACAGTTTTTATGAATGAGGGGAATCTGGTTTCAAAGCCACCAGCTGACTAATGACACAAAGAAGTCCCATAATCCTCAGATTTTAATAATGAATGAACAGTCCTTTTTCTCGCTGTTGTTTCTTTTGTGTTGACAGTGAATTCGGCACCTCTCTAAGAGGCCACAGGCAGTAGGACAATAGGATGTGTTACATTGCTTCATTCTCATAATTGATGGTTTCATTTATACACCAGAGAACAGGCTTAAGCAATAAGAGAAGATATATTTTATGCTATATTGTGAATATAGTGACAGAAAACCTTCAGCTGACTATACTAACAATATATCCTATCAATAATAATTTCCTTGAGTGCTTTGTGTTAATAAAAAAAATGACACAAATTTTCAATAAAGTATTGCCGCCACATGAAAACATACCTACTGCAGAGTAATATATATATTTGTTTTATAACGAAAAATTGATCATATTTTCAATGTGTGTAGATAGTTCCTCTGGGTCGTAAGGAGATGAGGGCAGCTGAACTGCTTGAGCTGCTTCAACAGGAAGCAGATGATATGAGAAAACAGAAAAAACGACAGAACGTTTCAGGACTCCACAAGTAAGACGATGCACATTAAATACCAGATTATATAATATTAGTAGTGGCAAATATTTAATATTATAATGACTTGTCTACAGTATGGTTTGGAAATGTGGAGGGCACAGTCTGTCAAGCAAATGAATAGTTTCTGGCAAAACATATTAATCTAACATCGTTTCTAATGCAAATGGGCTATGTCATGCCCTCTAATAGCAATGTTTACTATCTATGCCCTTTTTAAGTGATCTGAAAAATATGCCTCGTTTGTCAGACACCTATCGTGTTGTTGTGGGTAATTGGTGTAATTTCATCCATGTAATTGCACTGACTGCACAGAACACTAAGTACAAATACTGAACTGTGACACAGATCATGAATTCATTATTCAGTGTTTCATGGACGTATTCCCAACTTTTAATTCTTCAACCCAGATACCTTCAACTCCTTGATGGGAAAGATCTTTACCCTTGCTTGGTTGACGCAGAGGATCATGTGGTCTCGTTCCCACCAATCACAAACAGCGAAAGGACAAAGGTAATCTATGCAAATTAAGTGAAGTATGCAGAGGTTATTTCAGGTCTTGATGATGAAGGTGGATGGCATAATCAACTCTACTCGGCTTTATATGTTTTGAGTACATTCTTGTTAATGCATATGTTTATTTTATTTATTTATTTTTTTCACATTTAAAAGAGAAAAATGACTATGACCATTTTTAATAATTATTTAATTTTTATTATTATTATTATTATTTTGTCATTATTCCTGTTATTATAATTATTATTATTTTTGCCAAACATGCAAACAATCTGTCTCTGCAGATAAAGAGGTCCACACAAGAGCTGTTTTTAGAGGTGACGAGCTCCACCAGTCTGCAGATCTGTAAAGATGTCATGGACGCACTGATACTAGTAAGATATTACTAGTGTTTTGTTTTATTTACATGTGTATATATATATATATATATTTTTTTTTTTTTTAATAGATGTAATTTTGCATTTTGTGTTTATTTACTTATGAATCAAATATAAATTGTATGACATATCACAACTAAATCATTCCTTTATCAATATCAATCCAGCAGTATCTGTACTAGAGATGGGTAGGATTGTCAATTTTTTGTATGTTTGTTTTTGGCTGTTTTTTTATTTCATGTTGATTTGTACTAGTATTGCTATGCTGTAAATAATATTTAATATTTGCTATCTGACTTGCTCTACAGTGAGGGCAGTGATTAGTGTCTTCACTGTAAGAGTGCAGGATTGTGAAGATACTGATGGGATTTCAGATCATCCCGCAGAGGACCCGGCCTCCCCTGAGCTGACCGTTGTACAAGTGAAGGTAGTGGACGTAGATGGAAACCTTAAAGTGGTCTACCCATCAAAAACTGACCTGATGTCTGACGTCAGCAATCTAACAGTCATCCGATAACAAAATTCAACTGTTGGTTTTCTGTCTAATTTTGTAATGCATTTAACTCACTGGTTTTGTCTGTTATCAAATTAAACGGCTATTAAAACATTCATTCAAATATTGGATTCAGTGGTTCTCATTTACACTCCTGCCTTTTGTATGGAAACCCATTTCCACCTTAGTTTAAAAATATGATTTTATGACTTTATATCTCACAAAGTGATTTTAGACACTTTTTTCGTTATACTTCTGAATTTCATTGCATTTTATGAAATAAAATGATATACTGTGAATATTATACCTTGTCCAAGATTTTGTGTTTATGGAACACATCTGTACTTTGTACTAGTCAGTAAAATAAACTTCACCTTTTTCGTAGACTTCCCCTGTTTTGCTGAATCTCTCCATTGGGTGAGCTATAGAATTATACAGTCAAATCTTCCTCTATCAAGCTTACACCCTTGAGCAAGGTTTTTCATCTCGGGTTGACTCTGGATGGAAATCGTCTGCATCATCAAAACTAGTAGCTCATAATTCAGTTTATAGTAAGTTTAGGTTAGCATTAACTATTTCTAAAATGCACATCTTCAGACATTTTTAGTGAAGTGACAGTAGCTTGTTTGAATCCTGTGTTTGTTTGTGCCTGTCGAGCACATGAATGCTCCGGGTTTGGTTACAGATCAGATGACTGGCTGACTCAGGAAATGTAAAGAGGAGAGTAAGTCTGGAGCTGTCTATAAGAGATGCAAGCAGGACACTGTCTCTCAGGCACAGTCCATCATGCTACATGACATTGACAGTTGTCCATTTTGCTCTTATTAAAAAGTTATGAAAATGACCCAGAGGAATGACATTTGGGACCACAGGACAAGATGGAATAATGGCTCTAACAAAACTCTTAACATTCAGGAGAATTTCCATATGCTTGAGACTTCCAGACCATCTGTGCCCATCTGTCTGGAGTTGATTGGAACAAAGGGATCCTGCCATTTATCATCAGGGTGGAAACTGGCAGGAAATGGTAAAGATCAAACCTTCAAACCTCGGAATGTTTTAATGCAGAAGGGGAATGATGGCAGGACTTTGGCAAAGAGTAGCTCGCTGCCTCCAATATACAGCCCAAGATTATCCAACAATTTCATGTCTAGTGCAAAAACCTGTGTGCCAAGCTGGGGAGTAGAATGTCAGGAGAAGAAAACCAATATTTTGTCCACCAGCGCAAGGATGGACAAGGCATTGTTCAGCAGGCAAAAGCAGGGATGTCAGATGATCTGCAATGGACTGGCTGTTTTTAATGACAGGCTGCAGGTTCAAGACCTGAGACAGGACAGCTTGAAGATCTCTGATGCATCAGCAGGGCAGCCACAGGATGGACTTCTGGATGTAGAGCCCAGTAACGTCAGTGCCAAAAACAAAGAAGTGATGACAGAAAGGATGAAGGATACCGCGAGTGTATCTAAGGACAGACCTGCGCAGCCATTCTCTGATTCAACTATTGAGATGGAAAATGAAATGATGGACAATCAGGAGGACGAGTATTATACTAACCAAAGGATCATGGCATGGATTGTCAAAGTAAATACAAGCTTGTTTTCTCCATCAAAAGATGAGATTATTGACCAAATACTAGAAGAGCAGGATGTGGATACTATTAAAATCATCTATGACCAGGACTGATGTCAAATGTAATGGTAATTGTAAACAGTGTAAAATAATGTTCAGCTTTTCTTAATGCATTAGGTATTGTGTTCATTCATACCACACTGCCATTCCAAATTTTGGGTTGGTAAGATTTTTTAATGTTTTAAAAGTCCCTTACACCAAGGCTGCATTTATTTATACAAATACAGCAAAAACAGTAATATTGTGGAATATTATTACAATTTAAAATAACTTTTATATTTTAATATATATAAAAAATATATAATTTATTCTTGTGATGAATTTTAAGCAGCCACTACTCCTTCAGAAATGATTCAAGTAAGTTGATTTGGTGCTCAAGAAACATTTGATATTATTATCAAAGATTTATAAAAGCTGCTGTAAAAGTGTTCCTTGTTAGTTCGTGATAATGCATTAACTAAAGCTAAAAAACTAATTGTAAAGGGTTTACTGTACATTTTTATAACCTCATAATTGTAGTTTTGCTATAATAATCCAAATTATAGGCTATGTGTTGTAATCGCTAATGCACTTCTGCATATGAGATTGTCACTGACATTCAAATATAAGATCAAATAAAATCTGGTCTGCTTTTGATTGAAGTATTTTATTTGTTAACATTTAAGTGGTTAAGATACTAAGTTAAAATAAATGTAATATATTTGTCTGTGTACATTTTAAAACATATTTTATACATGTTGGTACTATAATAAACAGCAAAAAACAATGTGTTTCTTAGATGGACATAATGTTTCATATAACAGCCAGTTCCTTCAAATAGTGTCCTTGTCAGCATCGGTGAACCTAGTATCCTGTGATGTATCCAACAATGTATATAACTTCCATCACAGTCAAAGATGCTGTCCCTTTCATCACAATGCCCAGTCGCCTGGTGCACAGTCTGTTATAGAGACTATATGGGTACAGACATGACTGACATTAGTTATTTGATTTACTCCAATAATAACTTATTTGCTTTTAAACTGTTTATTTTTCAGTTACGTATATGAAATATATAGAGTAGATTCTCACCCAATGAGTCTGGACTGTGAATGCGGCACTTGCATGTTCATGTTGTCTTCATTCCAGTGGTTGTATTGAACACTGGCCTCACTCGATTCCATTTCCCTCCAGCTCTCTGCTCCTCAGTCAGCTACAAAGCCAACACCAATAAAAAGGAGGAACTACTTGCAACTTATTTAAACGAAAGCTTATCCTGCTACTTGTCACTCCAAGAAAGTGGCTTTTGCAGAGCTTAGTAACAGAAAAAGCTATATACTTTCCGGTTATGTGTCTTGGAAAGTGAATCATTCGGCAGTTCAGTACTCCATAATAAAGGAAAGTTAATGAATAAGATAAAAGCAGTTAGTGACTGAAGTCCAGTGTACATAGTATATACAGCTGCTAGATTTTGTATTCATATTCTATATTTCACTCTTAAATTGTTAGAGTTGTTTTTCCCAATTCAGTTTGTACTGCATCACAATAATATAGTATGTTACAATTAAATAAGGTATAGATTAAATGACTATTATGATGATTTTCTAGCTTTATTTGCAGATCTGTCACGAATCAAAGCATAATTTGAATACTTACAGTTCTCAGGACATCAGCTGGTAAATCAATCAAATACTTGGTCTCTGACACTGCTTATGCATGTCATTTCTAAAGAGCAGCGGGTCCATGAGTTCATTCAAAGGTAAACCTTTGCTTACAGCCTGTCATAGATGAAATCCCTGAACTACCTGCTCTGCTGGTTAAATAAAAATAAACTGCTTGTCAGGTTCCCTGAGTTAAAGTGGGCTTAGTATTACTAAGTATGAATAAATAAATATTTCACAAACAGCTTTAAATAAATAAATAATCAAATGAGATTTTATGAAATATCTGGAGAAATGGACACACGTCAGTTAACAGTCAGTTAGTGCTGTTCCTTAATGTTAATTGTCTATATTTCTCACTTGCCAGTTGTAGTTTCATCATTTATTTTGCACCAAAATAAGTTCTTTCACCTGTTGTCATTCAGTATATTTGAGATCTTTTGTCTTACTACCAACTTACTTTCTGCATATAATTAGATGCAAAATTCAGACCATTGTTCTGTTCCATTTTGTACTGTAAGTTAAAAGTGACATTATGCTTTGTTGTTGCATTCCTCCACTCCGGGAGGTGGCAGCAGACATATAGCCACATAAGGCTGCTGTTCTCCTACAGATTACAGAAGAAAAGTGTAAACATCCTTAGAGGGGGGATAGCCTACGGTGTTGTTTTATTCAACGTTTGTTTATATACTGTTTATCCGTGGATGACAGACATTTTCCCAATAATCGGACTGAGTGTATTATAGTATTTTTTTTTTCGTAGAGAACGTTTAAAAAAAAAAAATCTGAATACAACACTACCACACGTATTCTGGAGCAACCAAGCATGATCGCTGATGGTTTATGAGCGAGACGCTCCTTTTTTCGTTAAAAGTTGTTGCATCTATTTTTGGCTACTTCACTATGGCCACTCTGACGAGACAGGACCTTAATTTTGGGCAGGGTAACTTTCTGAATTTGTTAATGTAGTGCACTGTACAGCTTTCAAATAACGCCTTTATGAGTTCTGATTCTGATTATATTGGTCATTTGCAGTTGTTGCTGACATTCTGTGTGAGTTTTTGGAAGTGGCCATTCACCTCATTCTCTATGTCAGAGATGTTTATCCATCTGGTATCTTTCAGAAAAGGAAGAAATACAACGTACCTGTGCAGGTAATGGTTTTAAGATTGATGTCAACACTAATGCAGCAGTAACATAATGCATTACTGCTTGGCTTATTCATCATGGAGCGGGGAAAGAGAAATAGAGCGAAAATGTTGTTGAAGTTCCTGTATTTAGGAGCCGAAAGGTAGTGCTGAATGGAAGTGATGATTTAAACACTTATATTTACTGTCTTTGACAGATGTCATGCCATCCAGATTTAAATCAGTACATTCAAGACACGCTGCATTGTGTCAAGCCACTGATAGAGAAGGTAAGGTTTTTATTTCATATTCGATGAATGTACATATTTGAAATAAAAACAGGCTGAACAATATAATAACATTTGTTTCCATCTCTACTGTGCAGAATGAGGCTGAGAAGGTTGTAGTGGTGATCATGGATAAAGAGCACCGTCCAGTGGAGAGATTTGTATTTGAGATCTCACAGCCTCCACTGCTGTCCATCAGGTGAGTGACAGTGGGTTCAGAGTTGTTAAATCAAGGTTAAAGTTGTGCATCTTTCTCATATGTGTGTGTTGGGTTTCGCTGTGTCAGCTCAGAGACTCTGCTGTCTCATGTGGAGCAGCTACTGAGAGCGATTATCCTAAAGATCAGTGTGTGTGATGCTGTTCTAGACAACAATCCTCCAGGTAGGAGGTCAGCTTTTACATAATTACTGATCTAAAATAGCCCTGATAATGACCTCACATTTATTAAAGTTTGAATAGATTTACATTTAAAATGTGCATTTTCTTTTACTCTGCAGGATGCACATTCACAGTGCTTGTTCACACCAGGGAAGCTGCCACAAGAAACATGGAGAAAGTTCAGGTCATCAAGGTGTGCTGAAACAGTTGTATATTTTAAACCTTTTAATTGTCTTTAATTGTAAAAATGAACTTGCTGGAGATCCTGAGAAACCAAAACTTTTTCTCAAACTTTATTCAAAAATACAACCTACATGCAAACCTGGTGTGAAGTCTTTTGTGATTATTTTTGTTGTTTTCAAGCTTCATGAACTTTTGGCTAGATAATATGCACTAACTCACTGCTGAGTCTAGGATGTCATTTCTTGTATTCATGTTGTTCTTTCACTAAAGGAATATTTCACCAAAAAAAATACAATTCTGTCATTATTTACTCACTCTCATGGCATTCCAAACCCGTATGACTTACTTTCTTCTATTGAACGTAAAAGATATTTTGAGATGTACCATTGTATTCTTTGTCCATATAATAGAAGAACTGTTTGGTGACCAGAATTCTTTGAAATATCTTTTGCGTTCTGTAAAACAAGAAAATGCATTCAAGTTTCAAACTACACGAGGGTGATTAAAGGATTCATTTTTGCGTTAACTATCCCTTTAAATTTCTAATCTCTACAGATTCTTGTCTTATTTATTTACAGGATTTTCCATGGATTGTAGCAGATGAGCAGGAAGTTCACATGGAAGAGGCAAAACTCATTCCTCTAAAAACAATGACTTCTGATATTCTCAAGGTGAGACAACTACAGCGTGTCAGATTTCATTGCTTCCACCAAATCACAAAATGTTCATTCTCAAATCATCATACATGATCATTAAGTTTGATACAAACCTGTTCAAGCAGCCCAAGTACTGCTGTCAGTAAAGTGAAAGAGAAACAAACTAAATACTAACACATTCTGACATTCATGTTACTTATTTCACTCACATTGTTGTGCTAATTGTATTATTTGTCATTTGAAAAAATAAAGAATTTCCCTAGTGGACTTTAGGACCCCACTGTGTCTGAAATCTTTAAAACAAGTATTTCAGAATCACAGGCAGGGCACCATATTCTCCTTTTGGGTCAGAGCAACCATGCTGACCACACCAACAGAATACAGTGTTTTTGTAAACGTAAAACAGGGATTAACAAGTTCATGTTGTTTTTTCCTATCCTGTAAACAGATGCAGCTCTATGTAGAAGAAAAAACACAGAAAACTTGATGCTCTGCAAGTGGATCACGTGAAAGCAGCTGGAGGGGTGTAACACAGGAAACAGGAACCGATTTTTTTTTTTTAAGTGAAAACAGACTTGTTTATGCGGTTTGGTAACATGAAGTATATTGAGCTGGACTGTGCATCTTGTTAAGTAAGCAGAATTAATGTTTATCAGAATGTCTTGTGCCTCTATTTCATTTTTAGCACTTGGTTGCTTAAGATCTGTCATTGTGCTGAAACTGTGTTTAATTTTTTTAAACAGTTTTGTAATCTTTCACTGCCTCTGCTTACCTCTGTCATGACACCAGATGCTTGTTCACAAAGTGTTTACAGTGTGGTTGGGAGCACACAAAGTTTAAAAGATTAATGTTTTGAAACTGCTTTTACATTAGATTAAATTTATGATCGTTTGTCTCTAACCTGTTATTGTGAAATTTCATACCGGTTATTACCTACCATAATAGAAATGCTGTGTACACGTTACATACTGTAAATCATCCAAACATATAACAGCCATTAAGGACAACACCAGACAAAGAACCAGGGAAAACACAGGGGTTTAAATACACAAGTCAACAAGGCTAACAAGGGGGTGGAGCTAATAAATTACTACGGTAGCAAACAAAGGGAACTAACGAGAGGTGCAACAAGGGAAACAGGCAAAGTTTCTCAATACCAAGTGCGCAAAGTTTGGACTTCAGCCCTTGGTAGTTCAAACTTGGCAGACTCCAACCACTGTCTAAAAAACAAAGATCTGTTTCAGTGTGTGATATTCTTGTTATTCCAGATGCAAAAAGAGTAAGGAGAGAACATCACATCAAAAGGACTTGCCTGTGAAAACTGAATAATTTAAGAGGTATTTTGTTCATATCAAAACTACATTCAAGAAAAATAAAATGATACCACCCAGTTATTCAAATAAATAGTTAGGGAAAATGGACAGTTAAACATAACCATAGATGGATGCAAACCTCTTTGCATCCGGGAATTAAATTTTCTTTTAATACTGTCAAGAATGGGATGAAAATTAAGAAAAGATTTTTACATCCTTACAAGTTTTACACCAAGGTATGTGACAACTTCTTTAACAAGGATCCCTTCAATTTCCTTGAAGTTATCACTTTTAAGTGGAAATAACTCACATTTGCAATTATCAATATACATATTATTTAATTTGCATTTAGTTTACATGTTCTCCGATGGATGGATGTTATATAATATGAGAGAAAGGACATTTGTAAATTGTTGTCCCCTCGTGGTATCAATGAAATGACATGTTACTTGCTGTAAAAATTATATAGAAGTGCCTGGTGTTTATTTTTGATATCCTTGGTTTTCAGTAGTAGGCATGAAAGAGAGATGATACATGGCCATAATTGGTACAAAACATTGTTGTAGAGCCCAATTAGTAATATTAAAGACATGTTTAATAATTTTTTTTTAGGTTCTGCCACAATTTCTGTCTCTATTTCTGAAAGCTATCTAAAATACATTTCCTTTTCAGCTCTGTAAGAAAAAAGAGGGCAAAATGATCTCCTCTGGATCAGGGATGATTCTGTTAGTTCCCTGATATGTACATAAGCTACACCTTCATTCATCCATCAACATTACTACCTCTGCTTGTCATGAAAATTGTGTTTTGTATGGCTACTTGTAATAATGCAGAATATGAAATTAATGGAGAGTGTTGCCCCATGTGTGATCCAGGTATGTGACATCCTTCACTCATCACCACAACATTTCCATGAGGTCTGATTTAATGAGGTCATATGATATTTTTTAATCATTTGTCACATGGTACCAGCCAGTCTTTGAATGGTCTCATCATTATTACTGATGAGCCTAATAACTGTAATATGCTCATAAAACAATCTATTAAGAATGGACTGATGTGGTCAGTGCCTTGTTAAAAATAAATGTCAGCCCTTCAGTATTTCTTAGGTATTTTTGGTTTGTTCCCTTTATCTGGACATAATAGTAATTCTTCCTCCTTGCATGACTGGGCAGGCCAAGTTGTTGAGATCTGTTTATATTTACTTATATAGTATTTTTATTTCACAAGGTCAAGGGGCATTTTATTTTTCATTATATGACCTCTTTGTCACTCATTTGACAGATTATAGTATTTTAGTAGCATAATCCACATTTAGATTTAATAGTCCAGGTCAGTGGTTCCCAACCGTGTTTCAGGAAGCTCCAAAAGCCCACAAAAATTACTTTAAAATGTTTACATTTTACACAATTTGCATAAATATGTACAGACATACGATAAATACATATAATTACACAAATATATGACTACCTTTGACAGGAAACTGTGTTTTATTCCTCATATTAAATTACTGAAAAAGAAATGTTTTAAAGCCATGAATGTTTTAAAAGTTTTATCTCAAACTAAATGGGGAGCAGACAGTTCAACTCTTATGAATTTGTACAGAACTCACTGATTCACTCAGAGCTGGACTATGGAAGTATCATTTATGGATCAGCCAGGAAATCATATATAATAATAGTTATAGACACTCAAGGACACCTTACATGCAAATAAAACAGTTAAAGAGCAACAATAATATTCAAAGCCCACATTCATAGCTTTACAAAATATCACTGGTATGCCTGCCTAAAAAGTGCATCTTCAAATGAGATTTGGAAATATGGAGAGAGTCACTATTATACATTTCTTGTGGAAATAAATTCCACAATTGAGGAGCAGCGTAGCTAAAAGCTCGAGATCCCATAGAAACCAAACACATATGAGGAAGAGCTAAAGAGAATGTAGACAATGATCTGAGAGTTCGAGAGGGAGTATATGTTAAAAGTAGGTCAGATAAGTAAGAAGGAGCCAGTTTATGTAATGCCTTATAAACAATAAGCACAATTTTGAATTCAATACACTGTTTAACAGGAAGCCAGTGCAGTTGTTGAAGAACGGGAGATATGTGTTCCATAGTAGGAGTTCTGCACCAACTGTAAAAAAGTTTAAGAAGAAGACCATGCGTTCTATTCCTCAGTCAGGGAATAGAACAGCTGGCAGTGGGAGGACGCCATGAAGCAGCTTCTGGCAGTAAAAGCTGCCTTCCCTGACTCCCTGATCTCCTCATGCACCTCCAGGAAGAAAGGCACTGGGGAAGAGCGCGGTTGTGAGTGTCTGGCCACTTTGCCTTAAATCCCAAATCGGTGGAGTGCTGCAGTGATGTTTGTCCTTCTGAAAGTTTTTCCCATTTCCATATATGATCATGGAGCTCAATCAGAGTGACCATCAGTTTCATGGTCACCACTCTAACTAAGTCCCTTCTCCTCCAATTGCTCAGTTTGGCCAGGAGGCCAGCTCAAGGAAGAGTCCTAGTTGTTCCAAACGTCTTCCGTTCAGGATTATGGAGGCCAAATGTCCCTGTGAACCTTTAATGCAGCAGAATTTTTTTGTAGTCTTCCCCAGATTTGTGTCTCAACACAATCCTGTCTCTTAGCTCTGCAGAACACATGGCTTGGTTTTTACTCTAATATGCATTTTCAGCTGTTAGACCTTATATAGACAGTTGTGTGCCTTTCCAAATCATGTCCAATCAATTGAATTTGCCAGAGGTTAACGCCATTCGAAGGATAGAAACGTCTTAAAGGTGATCCAACAAAAGTGGACATTTTAAAAAATGAATACTTTCGCGAGGCACTGTATATGTAGAAGTTATTTACAAAAGACATGTATAAATAATGCGTTATTAATGGTAATCATTAATATTGTCTAGGAAAGCAAGTTAAGAACCATTGTGATGCGTACACAAGCACAACATGTGATTCATGTCCTGCGATGACCTACACTAATATTCCTAATGGATTTACAAAATGTCTGCCATGTTTTGTCTGTGATTCAAGTGAGTAACCATTTATTTTGCCTTTCTTTTTAGTGAGTCATGGTGGTTTCATGTCACGCCTTGCTTTCAAATATATTGTAACTAATATATTGTTTTTTTCCTCCAGATGACTTAAAATTGCCTCATTTGTTTCCTTTCTTGTCAAAGGTAATGGTTTGAGAGAAAAGCAGGCATGTACATCAATATTAGATACCGTGTGTGAACCTCTTCCAGGTTATTACTGTATAGACTTGCTCTCAAACTGTAAAAAGGCCATGAAACATTCAACCTGCTCACCTGGACAATACATCAACCAAACCGGTCAGTCTGTTATCATTCGAACAGCTTTATTATACAACCATAAAAACTGACCGGCTGAGATGACAGCTGAGAACAATAACTCTGCTTGTATTTATATTAAATAACTATGACTAACAGCACCTGACAAAACCACCCAAAATCTACTGAATTATGTTTAAGTAAATTACTCACACAAAATGAATAATGATGTAACACTAGCTAACCAGTCACGGAGTTGAAACTCAAGTACTAATACTGTGTATTTCTGCATCTGTTTCTGTAGGAACAGAATTTAGTGATACAATGTGTAAAGACTGTCCTGTTGTTTCATATTCAGATGGTACATTTTGCAAATTGCATACAAAGTAAGTATCATTATAACATTGCTATTCCACTCATTCTCAAAATGAAATTTGTACTTTTTTTTTTGCACAATTTGCTTCAATAGATTTTGTGGTTAAATCAAGCTATTTTCTCATAAGAGATATATTTGCTGTTCACCTTAAACATCACTCTCTAACAGCTGTGAAAATCTTGGAAAAACAACAGTCAAAGCAGGAACTGAGACGTCTGATGTTGAATGCAGTAATGAAAGATCTTATTTACCGATTGTGATTCTGTTTTTGTGCATATTTGTGGTGCTTGTCATAATTGCAATTATTATAAAAAGAAAAAATAAGCAGGACAGTGGAACAAGTCAAGTTACTCCTCCCCAAGATTTGGATCTGTGCATAACTGTTTCCCACCACACAGTGTAAAAAGACTGAAATATGTTTATAAACCAACAATTAAAGTTATCTGTCTGTGTTCATTGACATAAAATAAAAAAATATTTCTTGTATTTACTAAAAAAATAGTCTTGAAATAGTAATTACCTATGTACATCCACCTATGTGTATATTCTTACTAAAACGGTTGCTGAATAAAGCACTTCTTATAATCTTCAGTCATGATTATTTGCATGTGCTGACGTGGCACAGGCTATGCTAACTGTACATTGCCATTTAAAACAGCTTCTTGACCTACAAAAAAAGATTGTTGTCAATAAATTAAGCAAGTTTTAAAATGAACACTGTTCAATTATTCTTCAGTGTGTTTCCCTTTTTAACACGCTATAGCTCATCTTAAAATGTCCTACAGCACATCCTTGGGAATTAACAGCATTCCTAAAAACAAAACAACCCTTGACGTTACTTCCCTAACATGAAAGCAGAACATGTAAAATCAATCCAGTTTACAGTTCTTTTCCTCCCCCCGTCACAGCATGGACC